TACTTTCCCCCCATGTGTTGAAATGAAACATTAGAGATATTTTAAATGTTACCTAATGATAACTTCCTCTTTCCATTTTCTATATGATTTGCATGCAAGAAAACAAGCAAGCTCAGAGAGCATCAAGGTCTCCTCATGTCAACCCTGAGCTACAAATATTTTCCTTCATTAATAATCATTAGTACCCCATGAGGTTGGATATCATTTACTTATTTCTAACATTCGCTTACTTTATGGTCCAGTGAGAAAGTTGGAACAAGTTCATCTTGAATCCATTTAAGAGGACCATTTTTTATTTTCTAGATTCCCACTATAATGACATTACTTGGAAAATAAAGTTATTTATCTACAGAACCAATTCATTCATCTTTATCAATTAATCCTTAATCCTTTCATTGGGATTCCAGGATTATGATCTATATTTAATTGGCTAAGCTAAAATATTTCTACTGTCTGTAAATATATCTATTACTGAACATCATAGTATATTTGCTTTAATATGTTGATGTTTGTTTTTATAGTTTGTTATGTATGTAGAAAGTATTGAATTAAATATTCAGGTTCTTATGTATAAATTATATAGATTCTTTTTTAAATTTTACATTTTTTATTTTAAATATTGTATTAGGAAATATGTAAAAAATAAATAGCTTTTTCATATAAATTCTTAAATTACAGCCCAATTAACAAGTAATAGTATTTTACATAGTTTGGGATAATGTTCCACATAAAAATGAGTTTGTTTTAATCAGTGGAATAAAACCTGCTTGAGACTATTTTGAATAACTGTTATCAGTGGAGGTTCATTATGGATATATGTAACCATTTTCACTAGTTTATAACTCCTGGTGCACACATAATTCTAAATCATTATATGATATATTTTTCTTAGTATGACATATGAAAAGTCAACCCTGAGAATTGCCTCTGAATGTTCATTGTATTTGAGGGATTTAGTAGGCCTTCATAATTCAGTCTCTTTTTAGTGTAATACTTTTCTCATAGCTTTAGAGCACGTAGGTGTCTAAATAGGATTCCATGGGCTCTAATATGATGCTGGCTATGGTCATAAGCGATCCTGATAGTCTTAGCAGTAATACTTCTAGTGTCCACTCAGTCCAGCAGAATGCATTTATTCTTTGGTGTACATAGGAGAGAAGAAAATTTGCAAGTGTTCTGCAGACAAGAGACAACACTGTCTGAGTTCATTAGCTTTCTTCGTAATGAGTTATCATGGCTTCTGAATTAACTAGGTATATAAGTGGAACTTTGGCTAATAGTGTATGAATATTTTAAGAATTCTTTCAAATCCTGCCAATTTAGTGATATTGCTCTAATTCTGTATTCCTCTTTGTCTTACATCTAATATTTGTAGGTGAAATATTTATCTATGTTTTATAATATTAGTGTCGCTTGATCCTAGCAGTTTCTTGAAATACAATGTTATTCATCTTAGTGGATTTAAAACATAAAATATAGATATGATTAGGATTTTATCATAAACAGTTGGGTATTGCATATGTTTACTTTGCTCTCAATATCTCCTATATTTTCAGAAGAAAGTTTAATTTTTATTGATTTTTTTTACATTATTAAAAGATAAACAAGAACAAAAGAATAAAAAAGCAGAAAAAAGAGAAGTGCTAGAAATAAAGAGAAAGAGGAGAAAGAAAAGTTAAAGAAGCAGCTTCCAGTCTTCTTTACAGCAGTTACAAACCTTTATCATTTCTCCCCTTTAAAACTACATTATATAGTTCCTTTCTTCCATAACCCACTTAAATCAGAAAACCTAGAAATCTATTTTCGGCGAAAAGCCCATAAAAAGATTCTTCAAAAAGTCCATAAAAAGATTCAGCAAAAAGTCCGTTAAAAAGGTTCCACTCTTTTATAAAAATAGTTATTGTTTTCTCCCTAACTAAAAAAAAAAAAATCAATTTTGCCCTCTCATCAAGTTCTGTCATCTTCACAATCCAATCCTCCATTGTGGGTACGTCTTTATTTTCCATATTTGTATATATAGTAACCTTGTATCATTTATATAATACCATATATAAAACCAGTCACCCATAAGTCCCATCTAATTGCACGTCCATAAGTCTTAATTTAAAAAAAAATCTGTTTTCATCTGAGTAATAGTGTTTAAAGTTTGGTACATTACCATATGTATTTATATCCAGTACTTTTTCACTTTTACGCATTTCTGCCCTACATAATAAAATGTTCCTTCATGCAGGACTCATAATTTATAGATGTCTCATCAGTGCTCATCCAACAGTAACAGTCTCAGGGTCTAGGTGTTTCTTGCTTCTTCAGTTTCATCACCCCAGTATATATTGCATAAGTTCCCAAGTACTCAGTTGGGCTTCCCTGTAAGTTCATGTGCATAACATTGGACCACTAGTTCTTTTGTCTTGTTGCTGAGTTCTTGCCTGCCATATCGTACTACCTTGATTTTTTTTTCTCCCAAGACTGAATACACAGTCTAAAAATAAGATAGAGTAAAATTCTCTGATTTGTTTCTTACGAGATCAGTATTTATTTGGAGCAGTGTTAGTGTTGATTTTCTCTTATATAATTGTTTGACTGTCTATAATGCTAAATAGTTTGTTGTTCAAAAGGCCGTATCTCAAAGAAATGTCAAAGAACCATTTTGTAATTATAAAAGGCAATGGTACATAACATTGAGATAAATGATTTATGTCAAATAAATGCTTCACTTATTGTCCCGATGAATAAAATGAATAAATTAATAATGAATAAAACAAGGAGGGATAAAGGAGGAAGGAAGGAAGGAAGGAAGGAAGGAAGGAAGGAAGGAAGGAAGGAAGGAAGGAAGGAAGGAAGGAAGGAAGGAAGGAAGGAAGGAAGGATCATAGTTATTTGTAAAAGAGTTTTCATAATTAATCTTATTTAACACATATTACTCTTCTGAAGATGCAAATAAAGCTTCATTGCATATCAGTTAATTTCTTTTTTTATTAATGACTGTCCAAATTGAGAAGACTTGGGAAAGAGCAATCTTCCATGTCCAGCGACAAGACAAAGACTAGTGTGTTTGTAACAGTGACTAATTGCCTCATTGAAAGAAGGAATCAAAGGAACAGAATGGAGTAAAATCAAGGGAAATTCAGAAAAAAACAGAAAATATTTTTATGTGGACGAATATTACATTCATTTTTTAAAATCAATTTACTTTTGGAGGAGAGTACCTCTTAGACGACCTCTCATATGTCTTTTTCATTGTGTTTAAAAATGTTACTAATATGTAAATTATAGGGTTAGTCAGACCGTATCAGATACATAAAAGTAGTTGAACTATACAAAACTCATTAGAGATAAATTATATAAATTTCCAAGTCAAACGGTGATAGAGTTTTCAACTTTTTTGCACCAATATTCTCTACAATCCTATTTTACACTAGTTTTTTCTCCCTGCTATTTTTTTCTGAGATAATCTGAAGTCCATTCTGGCAGAGAATTACAATACATAAGTTCAACGCATCTAGACAACATCACTGGGAGAATTGATCCAACTATTGAAGTCTTGTGTTGATTGTTTGGCCAGAAGTTAGCCTTTATTGTTTAATATTGAAGCTACTCCAACAATAAAGGAGAAACAGTATAAAATTCACAAGCCAGAATAATTGGTATTACATGTTTAATATTTAGCATATGTATTACAATATTGCAAAATATGATTTCATATCTGTGTTCATATAGCTCATGTACAGTGAGCTTAGCACAATCATATTATATATTTAACAGGATATTTTCAATACTTTGGTACTGGAAAATTCTCCAGTCCATTATTAGAAAATGCTAGCATTTTGATCCAGAATGTTCTTGGTAAATGCAAGTATTGGGTTTGCAGAAATAATTTTCCAGTTATCAAAATGTTCCTTGAAGAGGATCAAATTTTGATACTTCTACCGTGTTTCCCCGAAATTATGACTCGGTCTTATATTTTTTTTCCTCCAAAAAAGGCACTAGGTCTTAATTTCAGAGAATGTCTTACTTTAAGACCACCATAGCCAGGCCTCCCACACCCCAACATCTGTCGCACTGCTGCTTGACTTCTGCTGCTGCTTGCCACCATTTGTGGCCAGACGCCATGTGGTGCATTGTGCTGTTGCCACTCCTCCCAGCAGGACACCACATGGTGCTTTGTACCATTTCTGCTGCTCGCGGCAGGACACCAAATGGTGCTTTGGGCCATTTCCACAGCAGAAACAGCCTGAAGCACCACATGGCCTCCTGCCGCAAGCAACAGAACCAATTCAGAGCGCATGAACAACAGAAGTGGCTCGAAGCGCTGCAGAAGCGCCCAAAGCGCACTAGCAGTGGAAACAGCCCAAAGCGCACAAGCAGCAGGAGTGGCCTGAAGTGTCATGCAGCGGCCTGGTGGGAGGATTGGCAACTGCGCAATGCATCACATGTCAACTGACCACAAGTGGCAGCAAGCAGCTGTAGAAAAAGTCAAGTAGCAACACAGGTGTCAGAGTTTGGGAGGCCTGGCTATGGTGGTCCTACCAGTAAGGTAAGCAGATGCAAGGCGCGTGAGGCAGCTTCACCCCCCTATCCCACTTTAGCTTGAATTTTAGGGGTGCTCCTCAATCCAAAACTAGGGTTTAATTTTGGAGTAGGGCTTATATCAGGCCCACCCCCAAAAATCAAGCTACGGCTTACTATCGGGCTGGGTCTAACTTTCGGGGAAACGTACAGATTTAAAATCTCAGTTTAAATAAAATGAGAGCTAATTCACACAATATTATGTATTTTAAGCTTTGTAGATCTTCGATCCATAATAAAACTGTGTGCCCAAAAGTACTTTTATAATAAAAGCAGCAATTTCTTCATTGGACAAAAAAATTGCTGACTGCTATGACTTCTTTAGATTTAACTATGTGAATAACAATGCATGCCTTATCATTTTGCATACTGTAGATTTATTAAATTTATTATTAGATAAAATGCTTATAATTGTCTTTGCTTTTTTGTAGGTCAATGCACAAACTGACCCAGCTGGAAAGGCTTGACCTGGGTAATAATGAATTTTCTGAGCTGGTAAGGAACATTTGTTCAAAAACAAACAAAATAACCATTCTAAAATAAGCAATCATTTAATATACAAACCCTCACTATTTAGTTTCCTCTGAAAGTTGAATAAATTTCTGTTCTGTGTAGATGACTTTAAAAAATCAGCTATGGGGTGATGTGGATCTATTTCTGTCTGTGAACCTTTTTTTAGAAGAGAATAGGAGAATCAGAAGTATAACTAGATATTTCTTTTTTTATTGTACCTAGTGCTGTAAGCTTTGTGGGATAATGTGGGAAAGTACTAAAATAAAGGCTTATACTTTCTATAACTCATAATATTTAAAAGTTTAGAGTTTGTAAAATTCTTATCCCAATCTGTAGCAGCCCTATTGTTATTTGGGCTGCTAACTTTTCCTCCCAGTTCTAATGAATATCAGATTGGTGCTTAGTTGACCAACTGAGGTATAGACTAATTAAACCATTTGTAAATCAAAATATGAAATTTCAATAATATTTAATGTAATAATCACTTAAAAGTGTATGTTTACATAAAACATGTTTTTTTACAGCCTGAAGTTCTGGAACAAATACAAAACCTAAAAGAATTATGGATGGACAGCAATTCACTTCAAACATTACCTGGGGTATGGCTGTATATACATATATGTACACATGAACTATATAATATTGCAGAAATGTATAATAAATATATTTTGGAAGTGCAGATCATTTTTCTTTATTGAAGTTATTTTGGTACTGCCTTCACTGAAAAATTTCTTAAAAATTTAGGGAGATATTGACACATGTATTTGCCTTGAAAATAGCCCATGTTGAACTGTGTACACAGTCAAACATCAAGTTGACCACAGGAAATTTTTGAGACATTTTTTATTATTTCATAAAATATTCATTGACTTTTATTTTACAAAATATATTATAGAATTTGCCCGATTTCTATTCCACCAGAATCTGGCTTCTGTATTTTGGACCCATTTTATAATTTAGCCTATTTGAGGTGCTTTGGTTTAAAAATTATTGCCCTACAATGGACAATTTCACCTAGTTAAAGGTTACACAGACAAAAAGAAGAATTTCAGTAATATATAGATTTAACAGTAAAAGTACATAAATCCAAAGAAAGAAGGAAGAAACACTCATATGAAAACAAAGAGAAAGTAATAAAAGAATAGATCGGCATAAAATAGTAAATTTTAAAAAGAGAAGCAAATTACCAAAATTGTTAGATCGGTAATTATGGCAATTGAAAATCAAATAAATCTTTATTATGTCCATAAGGTCAAAAGAATATCAACTGCAACAAATTAATGATGTTTCTGGAGATATTTAACTACATAAAATGAAGCAAATAATCTCCAAATTAGCATGAGTGCAGATTAAGAATTGTTATTAATTCAGCTTCCTATACTGTTCAAAAGGGACAACACCAAGAGCACATAACAAATTGTTTATTTTCTCCACTGAGTAAGGACTTTGACAGGAAAATTATGGCCATGTTTTTTTAACAAGATCAATATCACTACTGTATATAGCAGTTGAGAATAAAAGCTGTTTTGTGAGCTGGGCAAGGAATATTTAATATAAATATTTAATATAAGAGAGCAGTCTTCCATAGAAAGGCAATACAAACAAAGTTGGAGCTTTGATTAAATCATGCTGGATGTGTTTGTCAAAGGTCCATCATTTCAGATGAGACCAGGTTTTCCAGATTTAAATAATGAGCTGATTATACTATTTTGAGTCTGCAACAGTTACTGCCGTTTGTAAGGACACAACGTTGTACTGTAGTATCAAAGAGACCAGAATGCTTACCAAAATGTTTATCTTAATCCAATATAAATGAATAAATAGACTATGTGTAGGTACCTTCCCAAAAAATAGAAGGGCATGCAGCATGCCTGTTCTAATATATCCCCCATATTGATTAGGAGGGCCTTTGCACAACTTTCTGTTGTGTGCCACTTGTGCCCATTCCTAGAGTGAGGAGCTCTACTCACAGTCACTCATGCTCTGGTCACTTCCTAGTTGAATTACTGCAATGCGCTGTACAATGGGCTGCCCTTGAAGCATATATAGAAACTTCAGGGGGTGCAAAATGCAGTGGCATAAAGAATTATGTATGTTCTGGAAGAACCCACGTTATAATTGGGTTCAATTCAAGGTGCTGATGTTGACCTTTAAAGCCCCCCATTGCATGGGGACCAGGTTGCTTGATGGACTGTCTCCCAGATTTCATCTGCCCTTTCCAGTAGTTCCGGTAGAGAGGGCATATTACAGGTCCATTATTTAGAGAGCTACATTCAGCGGGCCATAGGTGGAAGTATATTATGCTCTTTTATGATCACCTTTGCCTCATATGGAAGTTACATAAAATATTCAAAACTTAATAACTATAGCTTCAAACAAAAAAAATATTAGGATATATTTTGGTTGGTATTTTCATTTAATCAGATCAATGAGACATCAAGACAATTTACTTTTGCTTCAGTAAATTGACATTGCCTGTTCATTAACTTTTAAGTTTGTAGTGTATTACTGTGTTAAATATTAGTAACTGCAATGAATAGTTGAATCAACTAACTATATTCTTATGTAATCTTATCAAGTCTATAGGACGATTAAAACAACTGATATACTTGGATATGTCAAAAAATAGGATAGAAAGTATAGATCTGGACATATCAGGATGTGAAGCCCTTGAAGATCTACTATTGTCATCAAATATGCTACAACAACTGCCAGATTCTATAGGTATTGACCAAATAATGACTACTCTGGAATTGGGTTTGGGGTAATAGATGAAATTCATTTAGATTCGTCTCAATAGTAAAGAAAAAACCAGTAAGCATAAGCAACTTTAACTTAAAAATATATACTGCTCTTACATTAAAGTTCAAGAAAACAAATGTTCATGTCATGCTTCAAAGTGTAAAAAAATGCATTCATTAAATTGCTCAGTATATCATTTTCCTACGTGACAACTCATGTTTGAGTATGTTTCTTAAAAGTTTTCAATAGCGTTAATATTTTTGTTTCATAATGTATCTTACAATAGATATAGTAATTTCATTTAGAAGATGTCACCAAGAATAATTATTCTCACAGTATGTAAAATTAACATCTTTGGATATAAGTTTCAAACTGCATTTTAAAAGGCATAGTGTAGGAATTAATTTAAATGGATTTCAATTAATTTAGATGCACTCTATTGGCAGCAGCAAAAATTGAAGTCTCTTTGGGAAAATAGTGTGTTTATCTATGGAAAAGAACACTTTCAGTTGATCTGTCAGATTCTGTCTGTGTGATTCTCTCTCTCTTTCAATCCTGTTATTTCAAGTCACTTCTGTTCATACATTTTTAATAGGCATCATAACATAGTACTTAGAACTACCAAACAACAAAAGCTGCACTTTGCATTGCAAAACAAATGTAGCATTTGCTTGCACTATCCCTTTTATTCTAACTCTCTTAACCAGTGTTAAGAAACATTAACCAACTATTTAACAATAACACACCCCCCCCCTCCTCTCTCTTCTCTCCTCTCTCCTCTCTTTCTCTCTCTCCTCTCTCCAGGGCTCTTGAAAAGACTGACTACTTTGAAAGTAGATGACAATCAACTCACAGTTCTGCCCAATGCTATTGGAAAGTAAGTGGAAAACATTTTAAAACTTTTCATTAGGTTATATCTTAACAAAAAGAAAACACTTATTTCCTTTTCTTCCTTTACTTTTTTCTGCAGCGTAATTTCTTTCTTTGTATTTTTGAGTTTTGATTTATTTCGGTCATCACTATATTGATAGGCTCCATCAGACCTTGGATTCATCAAGCACTCAAATAATGTTCTATATTATAGGCAGGAATGTCAAAACCAAAGTCACTAAAACTCTATAGATAATGTAGGTCAATCCATCTAAGTTCTATTTGTATAATAGAACTTACATTATTATTACATTATTGTGTAATAGAGATAATAATAATGTAATACTTATTACATTAATAATAATAAGATGTAATAATGTAATAGTAATTACAATAATGTAATAATTACATTATTATGTAATAGAACAGGAGGTTGAACTAGAAGACAGCCAAAGTCCCTTCCAGCTCTATTCTGATTAATCACTTTGATTCATTTCTCCACCAGATGGGAAAGCAGATGAGAAAGCACTGCCCAGTGGCATAGCCTTTTCTTTTGGGGATACTTACACATTGTTCTCCATGAGAGTATACTCATTGTCAAAACTGGGAATTGGTATTAATTCTATTTTCATACTTGTTATTCTTTATGATACAATATTTGCTTCTCCTTTTATAGCTTTATAACCTGCTCTTGTTTATTATTTCCTTATTGAGAATCAACTCTCAGATGACATGAGTCATGTCCAATGAGCTCTTAGTACATATTTCCTGCTATTGTCTAACATTAGAAAGTTCACATATTGTTCTGTGCAAGACCAAAATGCCATAAATGTCTCTATATAAGTAACTACTTGAGGAAATCAAGTTAAGGATATTAGTTTTCTTTTTAAATCCACTGATTTATTGATTTCAGTTAATGAAGAGATAAATATATGAAACTTTTCCAGTCTTTTAACCTCTGGATATGTCTGTTTCTGAAACAATGTTAAAATCAATAATTTTCATAGAATAACAATAACAGAAAATATTTCACCATAGTGTGGTTGACTTTGGTTTTGTGAACATCCAACCATTGTAATTTCTAGATCAGGGTTATATTGTTTGTTTCAATTGGTTTGAAAATAACAAAGACCAGGATCCAAGGAACAAGGTTTATGATGTGTGTTAAATATACTTTAAACCTGTATTTGTTTTGGTCCCATTGTTTTAAACCAATATCTGGACTATTTTTAATATTGTAATATTTTTTAAATACAATTTTGCCATTTGCTTTACTGAATAGAAACTGACAGTATGTTTTATCTGTTTAGAGTGTAAATTGCTTAACAAAGGTTTAAAAGGGTAGAAAAATGGAAGAGAGGGCACTGTGCACACCACCCTGAGCCCAGGAGAAAACTGGCATATACATCTAATGAATTAATAAACTAAAAATTTGTATCAGTGTAGTAAGCAACTTATGCAGTTGTATTAAGTTATAAAATTAACATTTTAGGTGTTAGCAGAAATATAGTGAGCACCGAGAAAAACTTTTATGTACATATATGCATATGTATATTGCATGTGGGTTTATTGATCAAATTACTTTGACAGAAAAAGTCTTATTTCTCTTTCTTTCTCATGCTGATCGTGTTTTGTGAACTGCCATCACCTGATGTACCAGATTTAAATTATTTGCTGAATCACTTATTTTCAGTGATGTAACTGGCAACTATAGGTAGTCCTTGACTAATGACCAGAAGTGAGTCCAAAATTTCTGTTGCTAAGTGAAACATGTGTTAAGTGAGTTTTGCCCCCATTTTATGACCTTTCTTGCTACAGTTGTTACATGAATCACTGCAGTTCTAAAGTTAGTTACATGGTTGTTAAGTGAATCTGGTTTCCCCATTGACTTTGTTTGTCAGAAGGTCGTAGAAGCCGATCACATAACCCAAAGCACTGCAACTGTCATAAATATGAGTCAGTTGCCAAGCATCTGAATTTTGATCACATGATCATGGGGATACTGCAATGGTCATGTCACTTTTTTCAGTTCCATTATAACTTCTAATGGTCACTAAATGAATTGTTGTAAGTCAAGGATTACCTGTACTGATTTAATAAGTCTGAATCCTTTTTGATATTTTCAATTAGAAGTGACCATAATTTTTATCCCTGCACAAAGGAAAATCATCATATAAGTAGCACTAAAAACATATACATCCCCAAATCAATTAGAGTATATTTGATTCACCTAAAAGTATTTTCCAGCTTTTTCATTTAAAACACACTCAAATATTTTAAAGCAAAACATAAACAGAGGAAATCAACCCATTCCCTCAACTGTCTCTCATTATTATGAATTCACACAGAAGATATATTTTCATGGAGTCTGCTTGGTGAAGTTATCTCACCTACTTAGCACAGAATATATGATTTTTTATAGAACATCTTGATGGAAGTCATAGAAGAACCTTCTTGGTCAAAGTAGGATCTTACACACTCAGGCATTCCCCTTTCTTCTCCATTAATCAACATATCAACTGCTTGGCTTAGAAATCATCTAATTCTTTACAAATATTTTTGTGATTGTTATAAAACCATCAAATGATTTTGAAGCACTCGTTAAAATCTTCTTAGAAACTGATTTGGTATAGTATCATGCTACTGCTTTCTGTGGAGTAGAGACAAATCTTTTTATTGTGAGAAGGGCATAATTGGTGGAAATAAGCTCAGCGTGAACTAGCCTGTGGCTGATCATGTTGCTAATTCCAGATAAATGACAGTTTTGAACATGGTTAGAGTATCCGCTCAAAGTCTGGAGTTAGTAGGTCTGCCTGCTTAAATGGTAATTAGCTAGACTCTCCTGCTGCTAATGGCTCCCTTCATCTTTGCAATGATGTGTATTTTTTTTTTCCTTTGCAAAGTATGTTGCACATAAGAAGGCATTTTGATGAGGTGGCGTGGAAAGAATCGCAGGATCTTTTTAAAAGATTTGATTTTTCAGCTCTTTCTCTATTTCTTAAAACACAACACAGGGAACCAGAACAAGTTATTTTCACATCTAGTAAGTCTTCACAGAAATGAAATGTAATGCAAGAGGCATTGGATAGCTAACAGTAGATAATATTTCTCGATAAACCGATATCATTCAATTAAATCATTTATACAAAATGATAGTGATTGCAATACTATGTAAAGGGCTAAACTCTTTTCTGACATGATAATTTTCTTAATGCAAAACTTTGTATGCCTAAAACATTAACAAAATACATTATATCTGGGTAATTTTATGATTCTTATGAATATTAATGGTCCTTGAATTTTATTATTATAAACAGAAGATATAAATTGAAATTCTCCTAAAGGAAGTTTTATTGAGTTCGGATCTAGTTACAAACAAATAAATAATAGTGGGGAGAATAATTATTCATCAGTAACCTACTAAAATCATGACCATGGAAACATCTTCAGGCACTGCTGGCTCAGTGGCTTTGAAAAAGAGACAAACACCACACTGTATAGTCAGCTACAACTAGCGGAGTAAAATCCGCAGGGACTCCTTTATCCTTACATAGCCTACTAAAATAAATCTATTATTATACTCTAGGGAAAAAGAACAGTAAAAACATTCTATAGGCCTATTCAAGTTGTCTATAAATGATAGTTAAAGACCTATTTCCAATTGCCAGCTTAATTTACAAATGATTAAAATTTAAAAAGTATATTATTGTATTACAGTTCTGTTAAGCTTGCAACCTTGCCAATTTTTCCCATGTTAAAGGCCAGCTCTTCTTATAATATATTTGGACATTATTGAAGAATTTATAAATTTTATTATCTCTGACAAATAATACTTAACTGTTCCTGGTCTCACGTTTCAGTGGTAGCATTCAAGGCCAATTCATGCAACAGACAGTGTGGAATATTATGGATTATTGAATTTTAGTCTCAGTTCAAGTGTACATAATAAATTACATGCAGCATCTCATAAAAGAAACTCTGTGAATGCATTCTCACATTAGTAATTGTAAGAAATCTTCCATTTCTAACACAAACCTGTTTTGGATAATATTCAGCAAACTATTGACATAAAATACAGTTAATCAAGTTTAATCCAGTTAAACATGTGTAAGGGCCGCATTAGGAATTACATTATAGCAAGAAGAGCAGCAAAATATGGTTATTTTTTCCATTCTTATTGCACTGGGGGGTAGCCAACCAGTGGCCTTGTATAGAGTGACACATTCTGTTGAGGAGGGAGAATCACAGGAATAACCACAAGGCCATTATGAGAAATATTTCAGGCACTTGGCAGATAAAGTTGCTCGAATGTACTCAGAGTTTGACTCTGCCTGGATAATTCCATGTGAATTGACTAAGATAGGGATCCCCAACCCTCCGTTCGTGGACCCACCTTGGCCCATGGCATGCCAGAAACTGAGCCACCCAAACAGGCGGAACCCTATCCATGGGACGCAGGCAGCATGTGAAACCATGCCCCCTCCAGTCCACAGAAAAACCTCCCTCCAGGGAACCAGTCCCTGGTGTCCAAAAGGTTGGGGAGCCGATGAACTAAGGCATGGTCTTGTTCTACTAACTGATATATGTTTAACCCTGTAAATCCCGAGGAGATAGATATTTGGTGCAATTAATTTGGCTACTTATCCTTTAAACTCATGACCCAGCTGACTATTTAAGGTTGTGTGGCTGGGTCCATGTGATAATGAATGCACCCTTGAGTAAGGGAATGGCTCATCCCTCTCCTCAAGAAGCAGTTGTGGTCTGAACAATTTCTCCAATTTTCATGTTAGGATTTCAGCTTAGAGGGACTAAGATGAAGTGAATCTAGACCATTTTTTAATCAGGATTCAGACCAGGATATAGAATGGAGATGGCTTTGATCAGCCCTATTAATGACCTATGGCAGAGTTGGGATAATGATGGTGCAATTGTCCTGGTTCTCAGCAGCTTTCAATAACACTGATCATGTTATCTTTCTGGACCAAATGTAGGTAAAGGAAGGAGGAGGCAGAGGGACAGACACAATGTGGTGGTAGTTCTCATTCTTTTTCCACAGCCAGTTCCAGTTGGTGGTGATGGAATGGGAAGGAGAGAAAGGGACTCCTGTTTAACATCTACATTTAAATCAGTGGGCGAAATTAGATATTAGATATTAGATCTAGAATAATATCTAGAAATTAGATATTAGATATTAGTATGCTTGATCAATTTGCTTGAGTTCTACATCACAACCCCTACCTGGCTAAGAGATGTTCAAGAGATCTTGTTTTTACAAAATCATTACTTTGACAAAGAATTTTATTAGAAGAAGTTAGGAATCTCTTCCTATCTGTATAGCCAGCCAGCAAACCTATCTATCTGATTTCCTTCCTGGTCACTGACCTATGATTCCCTTCTCATATTTCAGTAAAGGAAGACATTTTTGCACGGATCTTTTGAAGAGATCTTAGCAGATCTTTCCACTAAGTGGTCAGAGAAATTTCTGAAGACATCTAAAATACACATTTCTACCTCATAAATTAAGAGATTTAAAATATTTAAGCAATACTTAAGACCTATTTGGTCTTAAAATGCCAGGTTTCTCCGAATAGTATTCAGTAAGAATAATTGATTTTAAAGTAATGAGGAACCATAGTAGATAATTTTGTTACGTTGTTAATGATATAAAATATATCATTAATATATTAATTTATGGTTTCTTTTTATTAGCTCAACTTCTAAACAAATGATTTCAACATTGTATTAATGAATAATTAATTAATTTGCAGGCTATAGAACTATACAGCTCTTTCTATAAAATTACATTTAATGTTTAGAGTCATATTACCGTGAATATCATCAGAAACACAAGAGTTTCTCTACTGTAATAATTACAGCTTTTTTTATTTCAGGCCATAAGGACAATTATAAAGGAATGTCACATCTTTTAGCGTGCTGTAGAGACAATGAATCATGTTTGTTCTGCCAGGTGGTCTTTTAAACTACAATGCTTCTGGCTGGATTGGCTTCTCTCAGTGCAAGCATAAAGTGGATCTCAGCTAATTTGTCTGAATGTTAGCTTTCAAAACAGTTGCTTTCTCTGGTTTGAATGACAGCTTGGCAGTACAAACAATAAAATCAAAAACCTAACAAAGCCTTCAGCTGTTCTCTTTGCAACCTAGTTCACTAATCACTACATAGCTTTAAAAAGGATGATAGCTTTCAGTCTTTCATGCAAGTATAGTTGAGTAGCTACTAGCAGAAAAAATATATGGGGAACTAAATAGGTAATTGATTATAGATCAGTTGTTTTAGATTTCTTAGACTAAGGAATTTTAAAGATAAAAAAGAAATAGAGGATTCACAGGATGCTCATACTTTTTCATCAGTCCAGGCCGTTTGTGAAAAAGAAGTTTGGAATCTGGCCATCTGAAAAATATATTATTCCTGGCTCTGAGATGTCAGGATTTGTCCTCTTTCAGCTTATATTGCATAACTGGTAGCCAAGAATATTCCTGTTAAATAATAACTGTTCTTTGTCCCAAATCCTCCCCTAGATTATTCAGAGATGATTTAGATATTTGTAAACAGTCAAATGTAGACATTTAAGGTAATCCAGTGAAATTGTTGAAGTTCTACTTCAGGTAACAATATGAAGATGTACTTAATCAAACAAGTTCAAATTCTTATTTTGATATATGTGTTTTACAATAACTATAGGCCAGTGGTTCTCAACCTATGGGTCGGGACCCCATTTGGGGTCGAACGACCATTTCACAGGGGTCGCCAAACAAGGCTGTCCGCCATTTTTTCCCCCTTTTCTTTGGCCATGCCCCTGGCACCTGGTGATTTATAAGTGGTTGGGGGTCACCACAACATGGGGAACTGTATTATGGGGTCGCGGCATTAGAAAGGTTGAGAACCACTGCTATAGACAGTCCTTGACTTATGTCCTCAATTAAGCCCAAACTTTCTGTTGCTAAGTGAGATATTTGTTAACTAGGTTTTATCCCATTTTACAACCTTTTTGGCACATTTGTTAAGTGAATCACTGCAGTTGTTTAAGTTAGTAACATGTTTGTTAAATGAATCTATCTTCTCCATTGTCTGAAGGTAAAAAAAGGTGATCAATGACCCTGGGACACTGCAACCATCATAAGTATGAGTCAGTTGTCAAGCATGTGAATTTTGATCACATAACCATGGGGATGCTGCAACAGTTGTAACTGAGGAAAATTGTCATAAGTCACTTTTTTCAATGACATATCTTTGAGTGGTCACTAAATGAACTGTTGTAAGTCAAGGACTACCTGTAATTATATCACCAAATATTTTTAGCAGCAATTGTTTTTCACTGTATTTCTTTTTCAGATACAAGGTCTATATAGAATGTTACCTATCAGTCTGAAAAACAAAACATTCCTACAAAGGATAAAATTTCCCTCGAATGCTTCATTTACAAGGGCTGATGCAAGGAACATAACTTTAATTGTGATTTTTTATTCTTTAGGGTCATCAAGAGAATGGAAGTGGGAAGATATACTGTATAAAGTTTTGTTTTATTACATGGTCTGTTTTAGCGCAGTTGGAATTAAATGATTATGAACAAACAATACAGTGCCTAAAGAAAATATAGTGTTCAAGTAATAACAACCAACAAATCATTAAGTTTTTAAACTAAAACATGTTTAAAAAATCAAATGTGGTATTATTGTTACAAGTATATAATACTTCAACTTCAATTTTTCTCATTTTTCTTACAGGATTTGATGGTTTAAAATTATTGATAAAATTTATTTAATTATGAATTTGACCGTTCCTGTTTCATTTATAGTACAGAATTACACCGTTATATATATCTTCACGCAAGAAGATTTCTATGTGAAGGTTTAGTAATGTGTATGTAAAAATACAAATAGCAAATAATTACTTGCCAAAATGTGCTTTCCTATATATATCAGCAAATTTTGACAAGTAATTATTTGCTATTTGTATTTTTACATACACATTACTAAATCTTCACATAGAAATCTTCTTGCGTGAAGTTGCTTTTATTCTGGAAAACTAGCGATTTTTGTTGACAATAGTGTACTTGATGGACTATTGCTTTCTTTAATTTGTAAGCAGCTCCAAATCTCTCGCCCTTTTGTACTTCCAGCCTACCTTTATTTTGTAATTCCCCCCCCCCCAAATAAAATGTAAGAAAATTTTATGCCTCTTTGCCTAGTTCACAAATCTGGATGTAGAAAGTTAATTGCAAAGAAAATAATGATTAATCCCTTTGAGAGCTAGACTAACAGATGTACTTAACATTTCAGTTTATCTTTATTAGAAGAGTTTGACTGCAGCTGTAATGAACTGGAGTCTCTACCTCCCACCATTGGCTATCTACACAGTCTCCGAACTTTAGCTGTAGATGAAAACTTCCTGACTGAACTTCCCAGAGAAGTAAGGATTTATTGGGAAATACAATCTACTTCAGTAATGCCTAGTCTTCATCTAAAACATTTTTTCATTTGTATCATTATTGAAAGGTATCAGGACTGTGTGCTTTAGTCATTGATTGAATGGGAAATGATAGTATCCAAAACCCAGGTGGAGTTTGAAATATTCTAGTTTGCAATAGTTCCAGATTTAATTGTAAGTGTATTGTTGATGGCTCCCTCAACCATCAAGTGCCACTAAGTTGCTTTCGGTTTAGAAAAATGCAGCAGCTAATACAGTACATTTCAAAAAGAAAATGAAAAGAGTCTCAGGAGATTTGAAGGAGCTTCTTTATTATATCAAAGTAGTATTGGTCTGTAATGTGGAGAACAATGGTTAGATGAATACTGCGTTAACCATCCCACATAATTTCTTCTGAATGATTTATATTGCAAAAGCACCTAATGGATTACTGGATACTTTCTTTCCTTAATAGTTGAAGGACTACTAGCACCTAGTATCCATACTCCATAAGTGTAATCAAGGAGGACCAATTTCATTTTTCTTTCAGACTTATCTTCCTTAGTAGTAGTATTTTTGGAAAACTCTTCGCCAAATGAAAAAGTCAATAATGTTACATCTGTTATGATTTCATAATTTTTAATCATTCATTGGGGGAAGGATTTCTAATCATGGAATCAAGGAAGCATATTTTTTATTCTTTGTATGAATGTTTAGTTATTGCTATTATTTTCAGAAGAATAATTTTGCAACAGAAACAACATAATTTTCAATAAAAACCCCAAGCTTTTACAAGTCAGGTTCCATACATTTCCTGGCTTCTATAAACTTCTGTAACAGTCAGAGTAATCAGTTAAGATGATAAAAAAAAATCATCTTATTCTTCCCCTCCTCCATCTTCAACTACCTTCCTAATCCTGCATCCTTAGCAGACATTAGATTCAACCGGTTTTCTATTATGAGAATAGTTTCTGATTCTTCCCTTTTATTAACATAGCTTGTAAGAGAGAAATCAATAGCTGGAACACCCAATTATGAAAGTATATAATTAGAAGAGTAAATTATAACCTTTCTGGGACCTGAGACAATATTTTATTGAATGGGAAGAATTACGGGCACATCCAATAGCAGTATTTTCAGTTTTAGAAGAACTTGTTTTCTTCACATTCATCATCCTTCCTCTATAACTAAAATAAGCAGACAGTTTTACAACTGCAGGAAACAGCTCTAAGAATTTTTTACAGTCTTCCTGGGCCAGGTTATCACTCCAATGCATCAGATGTTCCTAGAAAGAGGAATCTCATTCATAAGGCCCTCATTAAAGAAAAAAGATTAGGTCTGTGTTATTATTGCTATCCATAGACTATGATTTATGAGTGGAAAAAACATACCACATCTAATAGATATACTTCCACATAACTTGCATCATTTGTTATAGAGGTGTTTTTCATAGTGTATAGAAATCCAAGAAGCAGAACTGGCAGGAAATGTGGTGTAAAGTCTAGATCCAGACAACATGATCTTAAGTGAACAATAGTATCCATTATTTTGCAGTAAACAGTATTAAAAATGTACTGCAGATGACTTAGAAACTAAAGACTCATCCAAAGTCTGTCCTTAGATGCAGTCTAAAAGAAAATTCTTCTCTTTTTTTGTGCAGGTAAATTTCAGTGATCAAACAAGATGGTTATTGCCATCTTAGTGTTTCAGAATGCTCTCTTTTAATTTCAGTCATACAAAGTCAAAAACAAAATTCATTCAATGATCTAGCTGATCATTTGTCTCTGGTCATTTTATCTACTCAGAGTGCTCAACAAATTTCACAGCAAAAATTTCATGTTTTTGCAGACAATTCAACAACTGCATTTATTTCAGGATAAACAATATAGTTATAAATGGGCCTATCAGCCTATCAGCCTTCAGAAACCATGAAAGGCATGTTGATACTCTTCTAAGCAGTTTCCTTTATTGTTTCCCACTTACGACAGAAAACTTGAAATAGAAATAGAAATAGCAAAAATAAGGATGGAGTTCAAACTTGATGACTTGTGACTAAAGCTGTGGAAATAAAAATGTCTGAAAATTTTCCCCAATCCATTCTTATGGGAGAGGCAGTTTGGAAAGATGTTAGTTCATTCATTCTGAGCTACTCCCAGTCAAATGACACAGGGTGAAGCTGTTATTAAGGGATTAGAAGTATTCCAGAAAAGACACTCTTCATTGTTTTCCCTTAGGAAATACTCTCCAATACTGTTTCCTGATTTTCATATTACACAATATCTGCCATTCTCACTTTTTACAGCAAATCATACATTTTGTTACCTGCAGACTCTTCCAGTTCATTATTCCACCAACTATCTTTGTACAGGTTTCCCTTCAGCATAACTCTAATCACTACTGTGGTTTTCTTCTTTTTAGTTTGTCCCAAAAGACCCTCACCTCATCTTTTATCATGTCTACTTTCTATTAATTCTTTGGAGAGATTAATACTTTTTCATGTAATGCTGATATCTGGCAAATCATATCCTGTGGCTACAGAGCCTTTAGTCCTCTGTATAATACTTTTAAGTTTTGTTAAAATATTGGGCCATTTTTTTGATGCTGATTTTTTTTTAAGTAGAGTCTCATGTTTTCGTTTTCATATATTATATCCTTTTATAAAGAAGATTGACAAAGGGGAAAATATAAGTCAATAACCAGTTCGATTTCTTTAAAAATATTTCTAAGGGAGAGCAAGGTTCAGTCAATGGATTCTACATTAAACGCCTGAATTTTATATTTAGTCTTTCAATAGTTTAGATCAGGGGTAGTCAACCTTGGCTCTTTTATGACTCGTGGACTTAGCTGGCTCAGGAATTCTGGGAGTTGAAGTCCACGAGTCATAAAAGAGCCAAGGTTGATTACCCCTGGTTTAGATGAAGTGTTTAAAATCTGTTGAAAAAAAAAAGAATGACCATCAGATATGAACAAAATTATTCAACCAATTCCAAGAAGAAATTAATCATTGACCTCTACAGACATGGGGCTTCTCAAAACTTTTTTTGTTCTTTTCTGTTCTTTCAGAGAATGCTTTCAAAAGTTGCAATGTGATATTATCTCCATAGATGCATATTAGTTTAGAACAGCCTTTCACAAATTAATGCCTTCCACATGTATTAGACCACAGCTTCCATTAACTATCCAGTTTAGGAAAAGCTAATTAAAATAATGTTTATTCTGAGAACTAGAAACTCATTCATGCCTAAAATCAGGATGATTATATGATTAATAGTGCTATCTAATAGATCTAATAGATCTGTAGTACAGCAGAATGGGAAAACTTCAAAAGATGAACAAGACAAAGCAAATGAAGGTTTTTACTTCTAACAATGGACCAGTTTTCAGTGTTGATTTCTTTTGGTGAGATAATCTGAGAACTGACAATCAGTGGCTCTTGTTCTGCATTTGGACTACATATCATCATGCCCTTCTTCCATTTTTATTAATAATGTTACAGAGTGTCTTTTTTATTTTAATTTTTTTTTAAAAAAAACTTTTTCTTTTCTTGTGTGATTCTCTTTCCATTAACATCCACCCATCTTTGTCTCATGGCTCTACAGATTGTGCATGGTGGCTATATAGACCAGTGGTGACGAACCTATGGCACACGTGCCAGAGGTGGCATTCAGAGCCCTCTCTGTAAACACGTGTGTCGTTACCCCAGCCCTGCTTCCCCCCATGGCCCCCTCCTCATTAGCAGCCTCCCCCAGAGGAGAGTAGCTCCTGACATGGCCCGCACAGAGCAGTGCAGCCACATGGCAGCAGGGCAGCAGGGACAAGACTCCGCCCTCACGCCCCATCGTGCGCAGATGATGCTGCAGGGTGTGGGCAGAAGGCGTGGCTGCCATGGCGCTGCATGGCTGCCTGGGCAATCTGTTGCGGGCTGTGGAGGCAGTAGGTGGCCCTGTGGGTGGGTGGGGGGCAGAGTGGGAGTGGAGCAGGGGGCAGGGTGGTTTTTGGGCAATTGGTGTCTAAAAGGTTCGCCATCACTGATAAAGACAGAGGAAAGAAATAAAAGCAACAGATCTAAAAGGAGCTTCTTATGGGTCTGTAATCCTCAAAAAACATAGGTGACCATGTTTCATCTTCATCCTATCTATCAGTATAGATATTGAATCACTTTATTATCCATATAAGAAATGTACAGTATCATGGAATACATCACACATTAATTAAACATCAATTAGGGACCTTTAATGTAATTCAAAATGTCTGCTTCATAGATTTATGTTATTATGAATGAAGGTGAATATACGTGAATATGCCATTTCTACCTAGGCAGCTCACAATAAAATATATTGCAGGGTCCTATCTGGGTCACTGCAAGATTATCCTGAGCTGCCTAGGTAGAAATGGCATATAGGTTGAAATAAATAAACAAGCTGCGTTGCCAGAATAGTGATACATTTTTCATTGCTAACCTGAGTGCATATATATATATTGTCCCCACTGGTGTGAGAAGAGAGCTAGGCCACAACTCTTTTGATGGATTGCAAGCAACTTGGAGGAAGTTTGCTTTTTAAAAAAGTTAATTAGGCCTATGCATACAAAACAAGAATGCTGTTAAAACCAGCCCCCATAATAGAATAATAGGCCCTTGTGATATCACATTGTTAGAGAAATGATGTGGGAAATAAGCATATTAGAGCATCTCATTCAGATAACCAGAACTTTTTAAGTTGCTAAATTTCTGGCTGAACAGACTTTTCTAGGATGAGTATGAATGCTAATTAGGATATCCTTTCAATACTTCTGTACTCACTTGAAGAAGGCAATTCATGTGAGGTTGCACAGAGACTACCAACAACAAATATATTTTTGGTTTAATCCATTTGTAACCGGAGCTATGTGGAACAACATATAAAATTAATGACTCCAATCTGGGTTGGTCACCAGGACCAGAGGTTTTCTCTTCCAAGCTTTCGGGCTTGTGTTGGGGCCCATCTTCAAGGAAATTCTCTCTAGCCTTGAAATTTCCTAAAGATGGGCTCCAGCACAACTTCCGAAAGCTTGGAAGACAAAACCTCTGGTTCCTGGTGACCAACACAGATTGGATCCTGCAACAATATTTGTGAAAATTAATGAAATTTAATTAATTTGAAGGAATTACCATTCATTAATCCTAAACTGTTGTAATGTCATTGAACATGTCTAACAATTCTCTTTCTTGTCTACAGATTGGCAGCTGCAAGAATGTAACCGTCATGTCCCTCCGTTCAAACAAACTGGAATTTCTTCCCGATGAAATTGGTCAAATGCAGAAACTCCGTGTCTTAAATTTGAGTGACAACAGGTAATGCTTTTATTGTTTTAATTTTACTTGTTTTATGAGCATCCCAAGGATAGAGAACCATCTGTGATGTAAATTACTAAAATATGTTTCTTTTAAAATGTTACCAGATTATTGGTTGATAAGAAAACAAATACAAATGTACACTCTTTGCTTCTAGATATTTTTCCCTCAGGAAGAACTTCTGTTTTGGAATTGTTATATTTTCCTGCTCTAGTTATTTCATTCTTACCATAAAGCAGCTGAGGTTTTTTTAAGGGATTGATCAATGACAATCTAATCCAGTGTTTCTCAACCTTGACAATTTTAAGGCATGTGGACTTCAACTCCCAGAATTCCACAGCCAGCATTGCTGGCTGTGGAATTCTGGGAGTTGAAGTCCACATGCCTTAAAATTGTCAAGGTTGAGAAACACTGATATTCTAATCCATATAATTAGAATTGAAGGAAACAGGAAAGAATAGCAAAACAAAACAAAACAACAAAACAGGTTAGGTTTGAAGTAGGGGATAGTAGTTCAGCATATACATGGTCATCTAATTCGGTGCAGTAATTCAGAAACTACTTCTGACTGCCAATTGCTTAATGGAGTTGAATGCAAATACAAAGAAACTGGCAGCATGGAAAGTAATCAACATTGGATGCTTGTCCAAAAAAGCTGAGAGCTCCATTTTCTCCCTAAAAACAAATTTCTGAACTGATCATTTACTCAGATAAACATTGCTCTGTTCTTTAATTCTCATTGGGCCTTTCTTCAATTCTCTATGCCCTGGATTCCAAATACAAATCCTTGAGTCTAGCTGACATTTCTCTTGGCAATCTGACTAAAAAAAAAAAAAAATGAAACGAGTGAATCCTCCTGTCCCCAAAACCACCTAAAATATTTATTTTGGGGAAAACACCAAATCTTTTTCCCCTTAGGCAAAGGAAGAAAAAACATAGGAGATTCCTTCAAGTGTAATTTTGAGATGAAACTATGACACTTTTCATTTTGACTAGGGTATACAATTTGTAGATGATCAAAGGTTAACTCTTTCTTAGAGCTTAGAGGAGAGAGAGTTAAGTGCATGGCTACTGTAGGATCATTCAAGCTGGTTGTGGTCAAAATTCAGATATTTGGCAACTGAATCATATTTATGACAATTGCAGTGTCCCGGAGTCATGTGATCACTTTTATGACCTTCTGAGAAGCAAAGTCAATGAGGAAACCAGATTCATTTAATGACCGGGTTATTAACTTAACGACTGCAGTGATTCACTTAACCACTATCGCAAGAAAAGTCATTAAATGAAGCAAAATTCACTTAACTGTTTCACTTAGCAATAGAAATGTTGGATCAATTGTGGTCGTAGGACTACCTGTATTAGCACCAGTTCCAAAATAATAGTATAATATATCAAATAAATCTGAATCTCAGTCAGGCCTCTCTTTTATTTTTACTGTTATATATTTTCAAGGAGAAAATTTATTTGACTACTAATTTGAATAAATGTCTTCAAATTGTAAATAAGAAAAAAAATCAAGCAACATCACAAAATAGAAATTAGGATTAGCGGGAATCTATACAGCCAAAAATATTTTTAAATGATAAAATATATTGCTATTAAATATATTCTATTCTTTTTAATAAAAGTGAAGTTTCTAGATTCCAACTAATTCCAAAGTGCTTGACAATTGTTGCATATAGATGAGCAAATCACAACTAAAATTGTCAGTAGTTTCATTTATTATTTTAACCATCTAAAGATTTAGGAAATACATTTTTCATTTTAAATAAAAGAGCTAAATTAATGTTTCTGTTAAAACATTTTAAAAATAATTAAAAGATATTTTAAAAATTACCAAATGTGTATTGTGGTCTCACTGCAAAGTATTGTTTAAATAAATGTCAAAGTCTAAATAATGTTGTATTCAGGAAGGATTCATTTTGTCTAAATATTGGGATGTTTTTTTAAAACAGGTTAAAAAATTTGCCCATCACTTTTACAAAGCTTAAAGAACTTGCAGCATTGTGGCTTTCAGATAACCAGGTATGTATTTAATATCCATTTGTACATAACAGCTAAACAAAAGGGGACTGATATGATTTATATTTGTAAATTACATTGTCATCATAACAAATCAAGTTTCAGATTTTAGATACAAAAGTTTAAACAGTATGTTTTCCCAATTTTTTATCTATCATCAAATTTTTCAGTGAATTTGCTGATGGTAAAGAACTGGGATTCTTGCTAAAAAAAACTGACCAAAAGAAAAGTCTCTGCAATAGCTAGACATTTTGTTTCTTTTTTACTAATAGTATTTCTATTATATATTATATTTCTATTTATATTTTTCTAGAAAATAAATAGCTTTGTTTTGAGCTGACTAAAGTGCAAGATTTCAGTTCAGAGTTTTTGTTAATATATCATTTGTCTTAGTAATTTATACTTTTCAAAAAGACATATTTAATTGAACTGTATTCTAATGTGTATTATTTTTACAGACCAACTCTGTTGTCCTGGAAAAGCATCTCAGAAAGTATAGGATCACTTAGATTTCTCCTCTGCAGAAGCATTCAATGTTTTTTCCTTCTTTGGTAGAACTCCCAACAGGAAGGGGGGGAAAAAAGATGGAAACATGGCAAGGAGATTGGGGGATGTTTTTATTTCATAGGACACAAACCTCTACCCAACATGAATAAAAAGGTTTAGCCCAGCCTGCAGAATTAAAAAAAGCATCTCTTCCATTTATTTATATAAACCATTCACTCGGATTACAAGTTGTATCTAAGTTTCCACTGTGAAACTTTTTTTAAGTAAGCATGCAAAGAAGCTGACTTTTACATGCGAGTAGAAAGAGTTTCCTAAGTTCTAAGCTCCCAATAATTGTGCTCAGATATCTTTTCCCCTGAAAGACTGAGTAAGACAAGTTTTTTTCATGGTGTATTCTCTGGTTCAGATAAATGTAAAAATCTTCTTTCATAAAATCACCAAGTTTGCATATCATGCTAAACCAGCAAGAGTACCACGCTAAGTTGGAGCACCACACTGAATAAAAATAAATCATATTGTGGTTTAGTATTTTGTATGAAGCGAAGAACTGTGAAGGTGTTTCACACAAGAAGAAGCTCAAGACCTGTTTGATATTATCATATCTCTATCATACCCTTCAAAACTGATATTGCATTTTTTTCTCTGATTTAAGTGAGCTAAGCAGAGATGCTATAGGGAAGGATATACTGTATATGTAAAACTTGTGTGTGTGTGTGTGTGTGTGTGTGTTTCATGTAGGCTTCTGAATTGTATCCATAGTTTTAAAGGTATCATAATTGCCTTTCTGTATCAAAACAGTATGGCAATATAACGAACAATAAATAAATCACAATAGTGCATCATCATTTGAAGTCTGTAGATGTTACAGAAATATTAATGCAATACAATTTCATACCTGAATATTAAATTTTAGCAGGTTTTCATTTTAACTGAAGGTTGTTACCAGTACCCTTTGTAATGAAACACTGCTTATTAGCATTCATAATATTTTAATGCCATTATTTTATCTTGCTTCATTGCCACTTTTTTCTGTGAGATATAATGTTATATATGACTCTGTCTGTGTTTTTCTTTAATTTACAGTCTAAGGCTCTGATTCCTCTTCAAACTGAGGCACATCCAGAAACAAAGCAAAGAGTGTTAACTAACTACATGTTTCCTCAGCAACCTCGTGGTGATGAAGGTAAAATTATTAACCAATTTTTCTAAATGCATAAAATAACACAATGGTTATTAATATCCAAAAGTAGATAGAAATCTTATTAATAATTCTACTGTTTTTATAATTTTAATACCATTCAAATCACTTACATATTTCTGAAGCAATTTCAGGAAGGCAGGCCTTGGTTAGTTCTATATATTTCCTGACCAATTTATCTTAGATTAGCTTTTGCTTTCTGCAGTCAGAATTATGTCCCAAAGTCAGTGTGTTACAGAAAATAGAATTTGCACTGATTTAGAAATAACAGATCTCAGTGTCAAAATAATTCCATATTTAGGATGGCAAGTCTTAGGCTGTGTATTATAATATCATAATTTTGTGGTTATGCTATAAAGACTTATGATGAGTGAAATTAATTTCTGAATAATTTTCAATAGTTTTTGAAGGGCCAGCTATGAAATATTTTTTTGTCTACTTGCACTTAAACATAGATAAGCAAAAGAGAAATGTGTAGAATCAATAAATGAATAATGTAGAAATGAAAAAATAACACATGGCATGTAACTGTGCCTTTTTGTTTAGAGTCATCATAAATTTAAAAGAATAGCAAATTTTGTTAGCTAGTTTATTTGATTCTAGCCTTCATTTCTAAATTAATTACAGATTTCCAGTCTGATAGTGATAGTTTTAATCCTACTCTTTGGGAGGAACAGCGGCAGCAACGTATGACAGTGGCCTTTGAATTTGAGGAAAAAAAGGAAGAAGAGGAAAATGCCGGAAAAGTTAAGGTAAGTGGGGTTATATTTCTTGATTATAGCTGCAGTTCAGATAACGTTCAGTGAATATAGAAAACAGATAAATTATGGCCGGAACAGCTATGACCTTCTAGAACAGTGATAGCGAACCTTTTAGAGACCGAGTGCCCAAACTGCAACCCCAAACCCACTTATGCATCGTGGGATGCCAGGTGGGTGTGCCCATTGGGTGGGCGTGGCTGCAGTGGTAATGGCAGACTGCGTGGGACTAAAAAGTTCAATCAATCAATTCCAATTTTGCAAGATCTTTTTCCCCCCTGCGAGAAGTTGAAATTGACTGGTTGATTCAACCTTTTTTTTTTTTTTTTTGCACACAGCGGAGGCCTAAAGCGAAAAGGTTTTATAAAACCCAGCTGAAGGCCTAAGACTGGGGCGACGGCGCGCATGCCCACAGAGAATGCTCTGAGTGCCACCTCTGGCACCCATGCCATAGGTTCACCACCACTGTTCTAGAACATGCTGAACTTAAGTCGTCAGTACTCTCATTTTGAGCCAGATTGGCTAGATCGACTGATAGTTGTTAAAAGCAACATTTGGAATATCATAAGTACCCGACCATTGGAATAGTATCTACTCCACATATCTATGTATCAATATAGTATCTAGTATGTGCATATATATGAGACATTATTGATTGTGTAGGAATGTCTTATTGAAATATGGATTGTCTTCTGGGATTTTACTTGAACATGCAGTGTTGGCTATGACAGATGAAATGTTGCAAATGCTTAGAACCTCCTCTTCCGTAGCCGGCAGTGTAAAATTTTTACATATCTCTAAATCTGCATTGTGTGAGGACATTCTATGACTCTGATTCTCTTTTTTAAATAATGCTCTCCCTCTCCATCTTGCCTTAATGCCCATGGTTTGCTTAATAGTTGTTATAATGGCCCATTAAGACTTGTGACATTTAGAAAGAAAGCAATTGTCAGTATTATAAATACCTATTGTATGGAAGTTGAAATTACATATTGCCTTCTTCAAATTAGATTTCACAGAATTAAACTGACTGTATTCTAAATAACTCTTGTGCCATATTTTTACTGTTTCAAAAAATAGGAATAGTATATAATCAACGGAACTGGATGCCTTAACTTGACAAATGTTTTCTCTTATTAGTTAAGAGATGGTAGTCATGCTCAAGGAGATTAATAAAGGGGATTCATTCTATATAAAATAGAGCGAGGGAGAGATAAAGGGCATTAGATTCATTTACAAAGCCAACCCAGAGGTAATTACACAAGAGGGAACATCATAATAATTCAATTAATTCATTCATATTAACAGAAATGTCTTTTTTTTCCAAAATTGCAAAATCCTAATCCTAACCTTTATTTGACAAAGAAACTGATACAATATATTGATAAAGAAACCTTATTTACAAACCTATGGAAAAAATATCATTCCATGGTCATAGAATTTTGTATATTAATCTAAGATCCCTTCTTATTTTCAATTTCTTTTTGAATCACTACATGTTATACAAAGAAACTATCTCCATTCTATATTCATCAGAGGTGGCCCAGAATAGTTTGCTGTCTAAACCAGTGACACCCTTTTTTCCACCTCCTATTCCAGGTATAGAAATCAGCTTGACACAAGTGTTGTTTCAACACTTCCAACATTACATGAGAAATGCAGAACCATCTCCTATTTTGAAGATTACAAAGGTTACATCCTTTTATTAGTATGTGCTTTCTTAAATAGCTATTTCATTCAGTCTAAAGATAGAGTAGATCAGGGGTCCCCAACCTGTGGACCGCAGCCTGGTGGTGAGCCGTGGGCTGCTGGCCACCGGGCCGTGGGACAGGCTGGCCAGTGTGCACACATGTGTGCGCACACATCCCACTCACGCTAGTGCCGCGGCCATGGGGCACGAAAACAAGACATCACGCAATGCAAAACAGGCCACTATCGCACCTTGGGGTGCAAAAACAGGCCAACGCCACACCTCAGGGTACAAAAATGGGCTACCGCTGCTCCTCGGGGCACAAAAATGGTGCTGTGCACAAGAACAGGGCAGGGCTAGTGAGTATCACACAAGCGCTAGCCCTGCCCCATTTGTGTCACATGCATGTTTGTGGCCCCATGCGTGCGCATGCATGCGCGCCCATGTAAAATGCTTCCCCCTTCCTTTCCCTCCAGTCCACCAACCAACAAAGGTTGGTGACCTCTGGAGTAGATCATATAAAAATGTACAAATTGTAGCAAGAATGAAAAGCCTTTGCTGTAAAATAATGTGACTGCATAAGTAAATCTTTTAACTAAATATCTGCACTTCAGTTTCATTTTCAGCATCCCTGAGCTTTACTTCAATTTCATAAGAAAGGAGTTAACCCAATAAGATTGATATTTCACACAATATTTCTTATACAAAAATACGTTTTCTGTATATATATATATACACACACACACATACATACATACACACACACCCTTCTCCATATCTGAGATGTTTGACTACAAATAGGATTATTTTGATATTTTGACTAACAACAGAAATACAATGTAAAGTTATCAAATTATTATTGCACTAAATTAAAACACTGAGTTTTCCATGAGACCTTAAGATGATTTACTACAGGGGTCCCCAACCACCGGTCCATGGACTGGCAGTAGGCCACAGCATGTCAGAAACAGGTCCACACAAACAAGCAAAGGCCCGTCCACAGGATGTAGACAGTACATGAAACCACACCCCTCCTGTCTGCGGAAAAACCTCTCTCCACAGAACCGGTCCCTGGTGCCCAAAAGATTGGGGACCTCTGATTTACTGTATATGAAAATTTGTAAGATAAGTTATGTTAAAAGAGATTGGTGGGAATCATGATCAAACAGAGATTGCAGTTGGAATGGAGACAGTAGTGATATCTTAACCACTATAATACACTAGCTTTCCTCACACAGATATAGCACCTATGCCTTGAAGGTAGATGCCAAGTTTATTTAAAGCAGAGATTTGAAAATAAATTTAATTCTAAAGAAAATTAGACCAAAAAAACAGCTAATTCAGTGGTGGTTGGAAGATCAAGGATATGGATAGAATTCATAGGAGAAATAAGGAAAAATAATATCCCTGCCCTAGGACAACATTTTTTTCTTCTTGTTGTTTTTGTGATTGAGATTTATTCAGATTTCTTTAATAAATAATCAAGACCATGTTGGGGTAAACAGAGGTGTGCACACAAACACACCTAACCCCACAACATACATAAAGCAAACTATGTTTATATTTCGCTCTTATAATTCAACTTTATTTTCTGCCAACAAATACATTTTTACTGAAATACTGATAAATTTCAAACTCCCTTAAAAACAAAAGTATTTTATGTAATGACCAAGTGTTGGGAATGGAAAAAATTCTATAAAGCACACAAGAGCCATGGTTTTACTTTTTTTTTTTCCCCCTACCAACTTTAAAACAAGTATGCAGTAAATGCATTTGATAGGGAAATTGAATCTTGTGGGCAATTCTATTTAGCCCCTTGCTTCGTAAAATGTTAGGACTCCTTTGAGTTGGGAAGATTCCTCATCTCTATAGTAACAAAAAATATAAAACTAGTTTGCAGTTGTTTTCTTCCATAATTCTTTTTATTTCTCCAGTGCAACTCTGTTTAACTTTTCATCAACCAAGGAATAAATCATTTACTTTTCAAAAGACATACAAAAGACATATATAGAAACCAGAAAAAGTGATAACTGGATGAGAAAATAAAATGTTCAAGTAAATCTCCTGTTCCTCTTTGAAGCTGGTTGATCTAGCAGTAAGCAGCAACATGAGTGGTCAGTGGGCAGCAGAGTTCTTTGCATAAATAAAAATTTTGCTTACTCCAAAGTGATCACTAGTTTTAGTGAGATGTTTTGTTAATGACTGTTACAAACATACAATCTGGTTTAGTCTTTATGCAATCTTCAAGTAAAAATTAATTTATATTTCAAGAAAAATAGTACTAGAACTAATTTACATTTTCTTTATATTCACAAAAAAAATTCAAAGACATGCATAAAGTATTTTAGTAGCAAATAGAAACTGACTGAAATATTTAAATAAAATAAAATAATAAAAATAACTTTCAACTGTATTCCTCCCATCTCTCTATTGGCTACTTATGAGGTTCTAAAATTTACATTTTTAATATTCAGGCAGGTACTATATATATATATGATAAATACATTTTTAGAAATGTTTACATTATAAGTTATGTCTTCATTTGAAAATCCTTGTTACTTCTGATAGTTACAAAATTGCACAAGAGCCAATGCCAATAAGATTTCTATTATACTTGATGGATTCAAATTGAGCAATAACAAATAGACTACATCTATTTTGTCAATACATTATAATTTTTTCCAAACTGCAAAATGCATTTTTATTTTTAGCAAATCCATTGTGATTTTCATTTGGTTAAACAAAAATTAATCTAACTTTAACAGTAGACAGGATTAACTGGAAAGCTTTAATTAACCAAAATATATAGTAGGACACAACACTATGAACAATACAAATCAGAAGCCAGATTCTGAAAGTAAATTGAATTTATTCACACTTAATATCAATTCATTCATCCAGAATTTATCTGAAATCAGACTCCGAAACTGTAATTTGATTTCAGATTCTTGATTAAGAAAAATCCTTGTTAGCCATAATTATTGTTAATATAATAATAAGGAAAATTTATTCTGAGAAAATTTGCTAATATACTAATATCTCTGCAAGAACTCAAAATCTGGGAACAATTGAAATGACATCTTTTTAAATCTCCATATTAAAAAGACAGTTTATTTATGCCTATTCATTTTTCATTATACGGTAGATGTAAATACAGAAAGAGATCAGCATTTTTCCTAAAATGGTTGCAAGTCTAATTAAATTGGAAGTTTTTCAAAATTAAAATTTAAGCAACTTGAAAATATTGCAGTGATGTGAATTTAAAACACTTAAGTAAAAGTTAATGTGCTCTTTATCTCTAGAATGCTTACAATTATAAATATGTTTGAAGAAATTCACATTGCAATTATCTTTCTCGATATCTACTCAGATATTTACTGGCAAATTTGAGTATTTAAAAATGATTACATCCAGGTAATGTAACATAGGGTAAAAATTTCATCTTATAGGTTCTTAGAACTGTTCAAAATATTTTATATCTTGCCTCTGTCATATACGCTGCAGATATCTTTCTCTTAGGTAAATATAAAGACATTATTTTAAGGAGCAAAAGAACTGTCAACATCAAAAGCCTGATTTTCAAGAAAATGCTTGTCCTAAAGCAGCCTTCTATGTACTTATTAAGTTGCTTTTTACATTTAATTGAAACAGCTCTTATAACACTTTTTTAATAAAAAATTTGCACGGATGAATTTTATAACATTTGCTTTTGGTCAAGTGTATCATTGTTTGCTGAATTGAATTTGACAGTAGAAATTAAAAAAGAAATTCTTCTATCCAGGAATATTGCACTTTGGAAGGTTTTTATCCCCAGCGGCATGCTACTTCTGAGGTAACTTTAAATGTGAAACATAAAAGACCATGAATAGAAAGGGAGTCTAGACTGCATTGGTAATTATCCTTTTTAATATTAATATAGGAATATCTTCATCCTACTTCTATCTAGCACATCTGAGAATAATTTACCACTGAAAAATAATATTGATCTAAGATAAATTGCTTTACTCAGATATCTTTGTGTGTTTTAGTTTAGCTACTTTGTCTTTTTTAGTAGCCTTTCCAATGCATGCACAATTTGCTTATGTCCCTCCTGTTTTTTAGATTGTATTGGGCATTAGTTAAGCCACTGCCCAGGTCATGTAGTGCTTAGATGAACCTATCAGCATTTGCAGTCTTTAGACTATCAATGAGAGCTGTAGTGATGTTATATCCACTCATTACAGTTAAGTAGTTCTTGTGCTGGACCTGTACATTGACGTTATGTAATATTTTATAATTACTATTGAGGTCTCTGTTTGGATGTGCTTGTCTGTAATGCGTATTTTATTATACTTCAACCCTGAATGTAAGTTTGTACCATAGTCTGTATTTTTCATATCAGTCAAGCTTTTTTGAATGGATGCCTATTAACCTGTGTATGCTTTGGAATCTTGGCTGTATATCTATTTTTTATGTTTGTGGTAAATAAAGTGTCACAGTTTATTCAAGTATACCCATTTATCAAAGAAGAAAAATAATTGTTCAATATTGAACACAATTCACTTAAGTTTCATTGCTTTTATAGATTTAAGAACAATTAGGTTACTTTTGGGTTGCTACCGTATATTCAGATGAGCACTCACAATATTGTATTATAGATCCAGAGTGACATTCCATATATTAGTGAATTTCTAGAATCTGCCTAAACTATTAATATTTTGCATCATAAGTATCATGATAATTTTAATCAAATTTTTATCACTGACAACAATGGATTGGAATTCCGCACCACCCTATTGTAAGTGATACTGGCTTTTGCATTTCAAAAGTGCAGTGTAGCAGATGTTGTATGTTAACATTGTCTCAAATTCCTAAATTCACTGTCTGTGTTTTGTAATATATATCACCTTGATAATCAAAGTGAAAATTTTAACAATTATTCTTCTTTTCTGCTTCTACTTTTAATTTATTTTGTTAACTAAGGTTGAAATAAATTTAAAGCGTTATCCAACTCCATATCCAGAAGATTTAAAGAACATGGTGAAATCTGTTCAAAATCTAGTGGGCAAATCTACCCATGGAGTGAGGCCTGAGAATTCAGCACCATCTGCGAGTGCAGAACAAGTTGTGAAAGACAAATTTGAGCACAAGTGGCCCATGGCAACAAAAGAGCTGTCAGTGGAGGTAACCAAGAATAAATACCAGTGCTCTTTAAAGTAATGATTTTAAGATTGAAGCTGTATCTGTCTATCTATCTCTGTTGTTATGACTCTTCAGTAGTTATTAGCAATTATTATACTGATTTAGAGGTCTGGAGAATTTCTAAATCTAGATGGTCCAGAGTAGATGATCCACAGAAAAGTTGGGTTTCTCAAGAGAAAGATAGATATAGAATGTAGGGTGCTTTCTAAGGGCTTTAAGAAATATGCAAGACTCCTTGACTGCTGAATCAGAGAAGCATAATCATTAATTTTAGGATGGAGTGCTCTGGCAGCAATTTTGCACATACGTTAGAAACCAATTGCAGAGGTAGATAACTTTCTGCACACAAGTCTTTTTTTAAAAAAAGCATTTTATTAATATTAACAACTAAATAAAATCATTGTTAAACCATTACTACATATAACAAAAAAGAATGTTAGTAAACAAGAACCTTGGTAGTATAATATGAAAATAATATCAGTATAGCTTAACCGTCATCTAGAATGGCAATCAATTGCAGGGAGGAATCAGTTGATGAAAATTAAAGGAATAGTAAAAATTACCATGTTTCCTGCTTGTCCTGCAAGCTGACCATTAAAGCAAATTACACAGTTCTAAATGCTTTAGTCAAGACAGGTTATAAAATTCTTCAATGCCATGTACAGAGTAGAGCAGAAGTAAATTGAGAAACAAGCAACAGCAAGAAATGGGAAGTAATCAAGTTTGACTTTAAATACCTTAGGCAAACATATGCTGCAGCAGAAGAAAACTAATCTAAAATGCCAAACAAATTGGGAAGCCCAGAAGCATAGTCAAACAACAGACTAAAGTCTAAGAGGAACATTATAACTACAATAAAAACAAGCAATACTCCCAAGTGTAAAAATCATTTCCTCATGTAGGAGAAGGTTAAAATATTTCACCCTGCACCCATTTTTAGCATACAGCTGAGCCTCATCAATCTTCTTCTAGCAGCTCATCTATTTTCCTGCCAAAACTTACAGCCTTCTAAGCCAGTTTAGCACGTCTGTGCTGGGTATCTTTCAAATCAGGACCTGGATCACTTGATCTTGGCTTGTCCCTGAGGTGGAAGGCTCTGGCAAACTGGGTTGAGTTCCACAGGCTATTCAGGTCTATTCTGCAGCGTGGAACTACTGAGACAAGTAGGCAGCAGGCTCTCAGTAATTCCAAGCTGTCTAATTATATGTATTAGACATAATGTGCTGGGGGCGCATCATCATGCTTTTGTGATCATGAGTTTGCTAGTCATGCTTCTTGATTTTTAATATGTAGGTTAATGTTTTGGATAATTTTAATACTGAATTCTGCCAGATAACATTTGCTTCTGTCTTCCAAATGAATGTACTTAGTATTCATAGCTCTCATAAAAGTATAAAGTCCACTGAAAATTTCATCTTTGTTGGTGTCTTTATGATATTCAATTCTCCACTTATTATTTCAATGTACAGGATTCTTTTGTACACCCAGTGAATGACATGAGGATAGGAGAACTTCGCCCCTCAATGGCTGATGCACCATTATATCAACCAAAACTTGTTCTTTTAGGAAAGGAAAAAAAAGGTACTGGATTTTTCTGAACTCCTGTGTCATAACTGGAGATAATGGATGAAGAATGATGCAGAACTGTTATTGTTCTTTATACAGAAATGCTTTGTGGTAAATGCTTTTAAGTATACGATTATAAAGCATCAGATTGACCCTGACTTCTGAATACAGTAGCATAGTTGCTTACTCACCAAACTATATGTAAGTAATTTTATAATACAGAGGTCATAGATTATTATGAGCTTTTGATCATATTGAAGTTGTAGCTGTGAAGATACAGGTGGCGCAGCAGTTAGAGTGCAGTACTGCAGGCCACTTTAGCTGACTGTGTTCAGTAGGTCAGCGGTTCAAATCTCACCGGCTCAAGGTTGACTCAGCCTTCCATCCTTCCAAGGTAGGTAAAATGACGACCCAGATTGTTGGGGGCAATGTAAATATATATACATTGCTTACTGGTGTACACCGCTTAGAGAGTGCTTGCACTTAAAGCGGTATGTAAGTCTCATAAATAAATAAATAATAAATAATAGCTACAGTGCTTTCTTTGACTGAGAAAAGACAATTGATCCATATTTAACCAAAGTTCCTGGGCCATCTTATCTATGACCTTTGCAGTTTGCTTAAGCTCACGGATAGTGTGGAATGCTGCAAAGGCATCCTTCAATAGCAAAACAAAAAAAAAATTAAACTCTTCCTTCCTATATAATTAAGTGTGAGAAGCAAAGTGCAAAAGTATAATAATAAAGCAATGCAGCTGTGTAAGGCAATCTGCATTAATGATTGCCATCATCTCTGCAAGTGTCCCATGTGACTGAAGATGAAAAACCAAGCAGAAAATAATGCTGATTAGCTGCATTTGTCTTTCATGTGGAGTCGAAGTAGATATGTGGCTAAACAAGACAGAAAAGGATTGGAAATCACTTTTCTGGGTTTAATTATAACATATCTTTTGTATATATGTTCCTAAAAATTCTTCCTTGAATTTTTAATTTTGTATTAACAAGTTACTTTATGTTTTCCAGAATCAACTGATGAGTCTGAAGCCGATAAAGTTCACTGCATGAATAACAGTGTTTCTTCAGGCACTTACTCAGACTATTCCCCATCACAAGCTTCTTCTGGGTCTTCTAATGCTCATGTTAAAATAGGATCTTTGCAGACCACAGCTAAAGATGCAGTAAATAATTCATTGTGGGGTAACAGGTGTGTTTAATTGATAGAACTCAAGTTGACTATAGGAATGTATAGTTCATTTAATCAAAAAGCTTAAATAAACGGAACTAAAGAGAATCCAGTAAATCCTACATATTTTTTAAAATTGAAAGTACTCTCTGGAAGCATGGGCTTGTGGACCTCATTATAATTTCAGTCAAGTTCAGAGAATAACGCTCAAGACCTGATTCTTGTCTTTGATTCTTGACTTTTCTGAGAATCTCCTATCATGAATGAATCCAAAATAAAAAAACTTCTTATACCTTTCACAAATTCCCAAGGGTCTATTTCTACTGAAAATACTAATTAAAGGTCATAGAAGGTTATGTAATGTTTATGTGTCATCTAATTTTTCTCAATCAATATATAGATGTTTAAATTAACTACTGAGCAATTTTATTCCTTCAGGGATATAGCCAATTACATTTTGAAAGAGGCTTTGACATTGATGGTAAGCTCAGTGTTATGTACTATGTGATATAAACCTATTCCTGAATTTATTACAAAGAAGGGAGGAAGTTCTTTTTGCTTTTCTATTGCTTTTTTCTCTTCCTCCTCCCTCACCCTCCAATTTCTCCTTCATTCCAGTTCTTCTATTTGGATGGAAAACAATTCATTCCAAGGTGGATTTTGTTGATAACAAAGAAAGAGCTAAGCACATCGATATAGCTTAGAAGCGCTTCATTGACCTCATTGTTCAGAAAATTTGTCTGTTCTGCTTGTATAATATTTTGTCTATTGCAGAATTTAAAATAAATCAACTTTGGCATTAACAGATCACCCAAGTCCCCAACCAATTTTTGTATTCCACTCCAACATAGATTAACATTCCGTTCAGTAACAGATTGGTTAAACTATGTACGCAATAATGATCAGGTATTTGTTAACATTTTAATCTGCTGTAATTGTTTTCTGATGCGGCTTTTTTAAATATTTGTTTCTTGCAGGCTTGTCCAATCTTTCCCACAACCCCTTGAGACCAAGCCATTACTCAGTCAGCGGGAATCTGCTCCAGCAGGAAATTTACAGCAACATAATGAAAGGCATCCAATGAGTGATGCCTTTGCTGACAGTTGGAATGACAGCTCTCACTATGATAACACAGGATTCGTGGCAGAGGAGAACACAGTGGAGAATCCTAGCACTAATCCTCTCTTAAGCTCCAAATCAAGAAGCACATCTGCTCATGGACGCAGGCCTTTAATTAGGCAAGATAGGATAGTTGGTATTCCCCTAGAACTTGAACAACCCACTATCCGAAATACCCCTGAATCAGAAGTGCCTCCATCAAACCCTTGGCAGAACTGGACAAGAACACCTAGCCCCTTTGAAGATAGGACAGCTTTTCCTTCTAAACTGGAGAGCACCCCTACTACCAGCCCTTTACCTGAAAGGAAAGACCTTGTTAAAGACTCTCCTGAAATATCTAGTACTTTTTCTCCAGGTACACCATGGGAATATCATGATTCCAATGCCAACAGAAGTCTCAGCAATGTATTTTCACACATTCACTGTCGCCCAGAGCTTTCTAAAAATATTATTTCTATCAGCAAAAGTACAGAGAGGCTTTCTCCAATGATGAGAGATTTAAAAACAAGCCGGTTTAAGAAATCACAAAGTATAGATGAGATAGATATTGGTGCATATAAAGTTTATAACATACCACTAGAGAACTATGCAGCTACTACTGATAACGCAGGGATGCATGACAGACAGGATAAAATGTTGGGGCCAGAACATGGAATGTCTAGTATGTCCCGTAGCCAATCTGTGCCAATGCTTGATGATGAACTGCTGACTTATGGAAGTGTAAAGGTCCAACAACAGCAAAAGCCCTCTGTGACTAAAAAAGTATACCAGTTTGACCAAAGTTTTAATCCTCAAGGATCAGTAGAAGTGAAAGCTGAAAAGAGACTACCGCCCCCTTTCCAACATACTCCAGAATACATTCCCCAGCAGACAAAAAATGTCTCTAAGGATTTGGTTAGTCCCAGAGCCTACCGAGGATATCCACCCATGGAACACATGTTTTCCTTCTCACAGCCTTCTGTTAATGAAGAGACTGTCAATACTCAGTTGTCAAGTCAGGGATCAAGGGCTGGATTTTTAAGAAGAGCAGATTCATTGGCCAGCTCTACTGAAATGTCAATGTATAGAAGAGTCAGCGAGCCTCATGAAATGCCTCAAAGCGATAGGTATAACAGACATCAGTATAGAGGAGCTATGGAACGCCAAAGCAGCATTTCAGTGTCTGAATCCCAGTTTCTCAAAAGAAATGGCAGGTATGAAGATGAACACCCTTCATATCAAGAAGTGAAAAGCCAGTCTGGAAGCTTCCCTGTTAAAAACGTAACGCAAAGGAGGCCTTTGTCTGCAAGGAGCTACAGTACAGAGAGTTATGGTACCTCCCAAACCAGGCCAGTTTCAGCTAGGCCGACAATGGCAGCTCTGTTGGAAAAAATACCGTCCGACTATAACTTGAGTAACTATGGTGAGAAGCCGTCAGATAACCCTGATTTAAAGACAAGGCCTACCCCTGGGAAGGGCAATGAGAGCTGTGGTAAAATGCCTGCTGACTGGAGACAACAGCTACTTAGACATATAGAAGCTAGAAGGTTAGACAGGGTATGTCTGGCATTTCTTTGTAATTCACGCCTTGAATTTTTTATATTGAAATTTTCTGTTTGCAGTGATCAATATGCTATTTGTTAATATTATAAGCATATCTCTGTTAAGATAGACAAATGTGTATACATTTCAGGAATTCTTGAAGTAAGAATTAAAAAAACATCACTCATATATTTTTTAAAAATATTTCAAATAATGCTAGCTTCAGTGATGAATTACTGTATTTTTTTAAGTTAAACTATTTATCAAGCCACTACTAAACTCAGGCTGTTTTTATATTCTACTTTTTTACATTATAAAGAGAAATGGCAGGATAAGTTTCAAACAAAGATGATATATATCTATGGCCCAGAAAGACTTTCGCTGAATAGGCACAATCCACAATTCTGAAAAGACATCCAGAGAAACTCAGTAGAATCACTGAATGTTTTCTGTGTTTATGAATAAGCCTCTCTTTTGTTGCACAATGATAGATGTGTCATTCAGTTATGGCTCAATAATTTGTTGATTTTCTTACCCACGATAGAAGATCAATTGCAGGAATTAATTACATGTTGACGTTCTGATACCTAAGCCTTCAACCAGTGTATTTGGAAGTAAATTAACTGATTTAAGTTTAATTTACATCTATATAGATATATTTAGGAATTTTACCTAAGTAAAGAAAAAACTCGGAGTAGGCTAACTCTTAGTTGCATTCTTAAGTAACAAATATTGTCTGGTAAATGTACAGATTAACTCAATGGAAGTTTTAGGTAGACATAATTACAAGTCAATGTATTATTTGAAGCCTTAATTAGGATGTTAGTGTTTACTCTTTGAATAAAATGCTTTACGGTAACTGAAATAGCAATAAATAATTTAGAAGCCATATATGCAGAGGAAGGAGTAGTGCATCACATATGGTTTTAGGATTTTCTCTGACTCTATTTTTCACAACTAATTCAGCCTGAACTTGTAAATTTTAGCACAACGCTGTTGCAGGGAAAATTTCTCTATATCTTTACTGCTGCTTTCATTGTGAAATGAATTCATTATTCCCTGGCCTATGAATGCAAAATACAGCTACTTATAACTCTTTATCCACTGGGAGTAAAAGCAATAGAGATAAGCAGACATGCATAGTAGGATAACAGTTTGAAAGGATTAAAAAATACCATTTCCACCTGAAATTATAACTTTATAATCGTGTATAAGAAAAGGGAACATCTCAGGATGTTCTTAGAAAATTACACTGAACGACACTGAAAGAATTGCAGGATTGGGGGGGAGGGGTTTGTCTTAAACTGCATTTTGTAGTTAAAGTGTAAAAATATTTAAATGTTTAAAAAATGAGATAACTACAGTAAATGTCTACATATATTAGTTTTGATTTGTTGGAAGACCTGGATCAGAGGTCCACAACCTTTTGGGCCAGGGACCAGTTCCGTGGAGAGAGGTTTTTCCACAAACCAGAGGGTACATGGTTTTGTGTGCTGCCTGCATCCCACGGATGGGGCTTTGCTTGTTTGTGTGGACCGGTTGCTGGCATGCTGTGGCCTGGTACCAGTCCACGAACCGGGGGTTGGGGACCTCCGATCTAGATTATAGGTTAAATATGAAGTTCATCTCTGTAGATTTTTGTAAAAAAAAGTGCAAAATTGAGATAAATATGCTATAAAAATATTTCAATTACTTTGGAAAATATAAATCATATAGTAGTCTATATGGTTCATATTTTCCTTATGTTCAAATTTTCTGTCACTTTTTTCTGTTCAATTGTGTCTGATTTTCGGAGGCTGCCTGGACAAGTTCCAGAAGTTTTCTTGGCAAGGATTTTCCAGAACTGCCATTGCCTTTTTGTAGGGCTGAGAAAAAGTGATTGGACTAAGACTACCCTACTGGCTTTGTAACTAAGGTAAAACTAGAACTCACAGGCTCCCAGTTTCTAGCCTGATGACTTAACCACTATATCAAATTGGCTCTCACATAAAATTATTGTTACCCTAACTGCTAAATATATTTCAGAGTCTATTGCTGCATTTTGCATGTTTAAATACGCAAAATGAAAAAGAATGTATGTCTGAAAGTAGTTCACAGTTTAGCTTTAGCTTTAGTAAGAGCTAAATTAACCATTCGGTTATAACAACTATAGTTAGTTTTCTGCATATGTGGAAAGCAACTACATCACGGAGCTTATTTTTAGCTTATCTAGTTTTCATGGACATAAGAAATATACATTGTTGATTTGTACAGTCCTAGGAAAGCAGAATTATAATGTTTTTGATTCAGTGCTAAATCATCAGGAAATGAAAACTTGAAACCTGCATAGGGTTAATCTAGTTGAAAGTGTTTAGGAACTTATGTTTAATCAAAGTGGTTTAACGTCCTTATCATTGGAACAGCCATATTGGAGAGAAGTTTAGAAAATGAAGCATTGATACCTTTACAGTGATTAAAAGTTTGGAAGTAGATGTTTACAAAATCCAAACCACCTCCCTTCACCTTCACTTTTCCATTCAGGTTTATAAATGCATATTTCTACAACACACAATTGGAACTTTCTGCAGGAAATTTTTTTCAATGTGAATAAACAGGAGCAGAGAAGTGGAAAGTAGTAGAATTGATAAGCTCATAAACAGTCACATGCCATACTCACCTCTCACTAGGATAACTATCATGTGCTCTATATGGGGCTTTCCTTGGAAAGCTACAATTGGTACAAAATTCAGCAGCCCAAACAAGGATGGACATCCTAATATATTTGGCAGACTCTATTGTTTTGGGAGCTGTGTGGGCTACCATTTAGTTTCCAGGTGCAGTACAAGGTTTTGTCATCTTTAGGACCTTAGATGACTCCAGATCAAATTATTTAAGGAATCACCTTCTGTTATAATCAAACTGAATAGTCAAGTCCTGCCAGGCCCCGTCTAATTTGAGACTTACCCAATGGGACTTCAGAAGTGGGCATTTTTAATTACTGCTCCCATTATTTTGGAATTCCCTCCTATAGAGTTCCTTTTTGTGCTGACTTTCTTGGACCTGGTTGCTCCATATAGCACAGAAGAAAGATACACTGTGAGTGAAGGTTGGAATTTTGCAGGCACATAATTTTGCTACTTATCATTTTGAGGACGATTTTGTCCATATTATAGATTGTCTTATTTTTTAAGGAGTTGCCTTTTATTTTATGCTGATCTTGTTAGCCCTCCCCCATTAATGAATGCGGCAGTGGGAGACTTGTCAACCCTTCAAAATAGACCAGACTAAGAAACCAAAGCCATGCATACTAATTTATTTATTTGTATACCGCCTTTATTATTTTTATAAATAACTCAAGATGACGAACATATCCAGCATATCTTCCTCCTCCTATTTTCCCCACAACAAAAACTCTGTGAGGTAGATTGGGCTGAGAGAAAGTGACTGGGCCAAAATCACTCAGCTGGCTTTCATGGCTAAGACGGGACTTGAATTCCTTTTATTGTAAGCTTACAGAAACAGAATCTTGCAAGTCTGAATGTGCTTCCCCATCTCTCTTCCTTTATCGTATGAGCATCTTGTCTGAGACTTTTCTTCAGTTCTTCCTGTACTCAAAATTTATTTTATCTGGCCGTTGTCTTAGTTGCATCTCTTCCTCCTGTCCTCAAAGTTATTCTTTCTATTTATTACATCAACAAAGAATTAAAATTATGTAAATGGCTAAATATTGCAGTATTGATCACTCATATCATTCATATTTTATGGACATGGAACTGCATCCTTTGATACAGTTGATCCTCTGAGATGAGAAGCACCATGTGTACAATATGTATATATTTATTAATTAGATTTTTATCCCACCTTTATTACTTTAAAAGTAACTCAAAGCAGTGAACATACCTAGTACTCCCTCCCCCTCCTATTTTCTCCACAACAATAACCATGTTAGGTTGGTTAGGCTGAGAAAGAGTAACTGGCCTGAAATCACCCAGCCAACTTTCATGCGTAAAGCAGAACTTGAACTTACAGGCTCCTGGTTTCTAGCCTTAACGATTACACCAAACTGGCTGTCATTATAAAAAAGCTTTAGATAATGGTACTATGATTTAAATTATATTTTTCATCACATTTATTTTTCACATTGTCTGCCTGAAGTCTCTTGGTCCTTTTTTTTTTTTTTTAAGAAACTGATGTGCTTAAATAAATGACTAAAATTTTAACCCACAGTTTCTGACTGCCAGTGTGAAGCAGTCAAATAAAAGTTATTTTCCTAAGCTCAAATTAATTGCAGCCTCATATGGGAAGAGATTAATACTGGAAAAAAATCATAGTTCAAAGTAGATTCTAAAAAAAAATATATGCTGCAATGAATCATCATTCTGAACAATAAAGCTCATATTCTAATCCCTGGAAAAAGTGCAGTAGTTTAGAAGACAAAGAAAGGGAGCTCAGAAAGCAGAAAGAAAACAAATACCTTTATTTCTCGAGGTTTGTTTTTTGTTTTGCTATATGCTGCTAAAAGGCTCAGATCTAAGATTGACTGTTGATCCTAAATCTGAATGCTAGGGAAAAGAAAAGCAAGAAGAATTGGCTATTGCAAGCTGTGAACATTATTCTTTGGTTAGTTTGTTTTCTTTTTCTTTTAATGCATATATGAATGAATATAATTTGGCATTTGTGCTTCTTTTAAAAAGAAGAGATATTGCTATATAAATATGACATTAGAGAGAAGGCTTTTAGCAGTGCTTATAACTTTCTGTGTGATGCTATCATCCTGTGTGCGTGTCTAGAGCAGGGCTTATCAACCAGTGGTATGGGTACCACCTGTGGTACATTGGCATCTGGTAGGTAGTACGCAACCATCCTAGAAAAGTAGCGGGGGAGGGGAATGAGCTGAACCGGTGGCAGCACCACACAAGCCTGAGCAAGAGATGTCTGGAGCTGCAGGGCTGTCAGGGCTCAGCGGAAGCACCAGGATCAGTACCACTTTCCAGCTGATTGGTGCTTCTTCGGGGCTGTCAGGGCTCAGTGGAAGCGCCAGGATCAGCGCCAGGCTCCAGTTGGAGCTCGCGCTGATCCTGGTGCTTCTGCTGAGCCCTGAAGAAGCACCAATCAGCTGGAAAGCAGCACTGATTCTGACACTTCTGCTGAGCCCAGAAGAAGCGCCGATCAGCTGGAAATTTGCAGCATCTCCAGAGTCTTGTGATTTACATTCAGATGCTTGGCAACTGATTCATATTTATGATGGTCACAGTGTCCCAGGGTCATGTGAAGTGATCAAAACCTGCTGCAACCACCAGCAGACAGGGGGAATAAAAACCAAACACCCCTTCACCCCACCCCCGCTGCCAATCCTCAACAGAAATGCTCATAACAATGAAAACCTTGGACAGGAGGAAGAGCGCTGCCGGGCGCTGTCTTGCTCGGCTGTGGTTTGGGGGGCACTTTTTTCAGTGCCATTGTAACTTTGAACAGTCACTAAGCGAACTGTTGTAAGTCAAGGACTACCTGTACTTTATCATTTTTTTCCTTTTGGGGGGATGGGTCATCAAGTTTTTGATACCTTGCTAGACGACTGGTGGTACTCGGATGTTGCCATATCCTAAAAGTGGTACAATGGGTGAAAAGGTTGAAAAGCCCTGATTTAGAGGTTGGCGGTTAAGGGGAGGAATGGACTGAATCTTGATAAGACCAAGGAATTCTGGATATTTGCAACAGTGCCCCTTCCCCCAGTTCTATCTTTAGTCTTAGATGGGGTTGCACTTCTCCCCTGGAGATTTGCAGCTCTTGGTCAAAGAGTAGGTGGCAGCTGTAACCAAGAGGGCCTTGACACAGATTCATCTTGTGCATCAGTTGCGCTCATTCCTGGATTGAGAGATCCTTTGATTACTGGTATTCCTCACAGCCATTCATTCAGTGACCATTCAGAGTTACAATGGCATTTAAAAAAGTGACTTATGATCAGTTTTCACACTTAACGACCATTGCAGCATCTCCTTGGTCACATGGTCCAAAATTCAGGCACTTAGCAACTGACATGTATCTGTGAAAATTGCATTTCCTGGAGTCACGTGATCACCATTTGTAACCCTCCAAGCTGGCTTCCAGCAAGCAAAGTCAGCATGGGAAGCCAGATTTGCTAACAACTATATGATTTACTAAACAACTGCAGTGTTGTTAGATAACACTAGCATATGATTGTGTTTTAGCTGTCTAGACAAGAATTCTGCCTATCACTATTTAGTACAGGTAGTCCTTGACTTAATGACAGAACATTTAGCAACTGTTTGAAGTTATGACGGACCACATTAGGAGTACCTTTGACCCAGGTTCAAAGTTACTACAGTTGCCACTCCACAGTCATGTGACCGCAGTTTGGGCATTTGGCAACTGGCCCTCATTTATGGCTATTTCCAGCATCCTAAGGTCACACAACTGCATTTTACAACAGTTGTGCTGAAAACCAGCGTTTCCAGTTTTCGGCAAAACTGCCCATAATGAATCATTGGTTTGCTTAATGATGGCAGTGTTCACTTAACAACCTCAGTGTTTGCTTAAGGACTGCAGCAGTCACTTAATGACTGTAGTAGTTGCTTAACAACGCTGCAAAAAGGTTGTAAAATTAGATTGGCAATGAGGGTGGCTCAATTTACAACCAGCACAACTTATGACTGCGATGAGTTCCATTATCATCATAATTTGAGGATTACCTATATAGGAATATACTAAATCAGTGTAGCCAATTTGGAGAACTTAATGGGAATGGAGTAAGTCGGGAGCTCTATGCTTTTTCTCAATTAGATTCCAGATAGTATACAATGCATAATCTTTTGCCAGTATGTATTCATCATAATTGACCCAGAAATAATATACTATACGTTCCAATATACAGCAGGATGTTGAGTAAAATCAATTTTAAGATGACTTGTGTTCTGTGTGATATTCACCTCTTGGGATTACTGACATTTAGCAACTAATATGTCAGTTGTGAAAGATTCAAATATCCAGCCACATGATGTTTTGGTGTGGTTAAGTTTATTCACAAAAAAGTATTATTTTATTTGAGTTTTTAAACATTTTTTTTCTTCCCCCAAATTTGGTGGTTCAAAATCCTTTTTCTTTCCCAAAGTCCTCTGGACTTTCTGTAATTTTTCCCAATTTATTTAGTTTCTGAGATGACATATGATATTTTATTGTAAAGAGGTAAATACAGCATCTCAGTGTTTCCTTCCCCACAAAGTTAACTTGGTGTTGTATATCAGCCATGATTTAGAGGCCATTTAGAGGTATGAAGTTTGCTTTTTTTCTGTCAGTGTCTTTTTATGGTACTGTAACCATTTTATGTACAACTAGCACTCTCTGTGCTTCTGTCTCACAGTGCATGCATAAATAAGCTCCTTATTTCTTGGTATTGTTCGTTTGCTTTAATTGAGACTGTGAAAATCATATATGTGCAGTATTTTTTCTGAAGAAGCATGTGTGTTCATATCTCGTCACGTGATTGTTATTTCCTCTACTCAGACTGCTGCTTATAAACACAACACTGTTAACCTTGGCATGCTGCGCTCTGGAGGTTTGTCAGCAATGCATGCGGGCAGAAGCATGACATTAAACTTGCAGACTAAATCTAAATTTGAAAACCAAATGCATCAAGAGCTACCTCTATCGAAAGTAAGTATGAGATAGCTTGCATATATCAAAGTCACATAATAAATACTCTTCCATACCCCTCTTCCTCTTTAGCTCATTTCTATTATTCATGCTTGTGTTCCAAAAGCGACCCAAAAAGTGAAATTAAACCTAAATGTGACTTCTCTGCTTCTCCAAGTAATTTGGCTCACCACATCTCTGTCATGTTGCTTTCTGCTCTTCTTTTGCAGACTGATGTACAGAACTCCATGTGTTAACCAGAAAGATCTAAGAGTTATGTTTCATGTTGTCAATGTTTAGAGATGTCAGGGGCATTAGTATGATTCAGGTGCCTAATGCTACTATCAAAAGTGCATCACAAATTCTTTTAATTTAAGACAGCATTCCAGGAATCAGAACCTACAGATACTACATTGTATGCCCTGATTAAGACTAGCTTATAGTTTTAACTCAAGAGAAATGTCAGATGTATGTCCTGCTCATATCTTTTACTGTATTTGTGTGTTTCTTTATGTAAACTGTTGTAGAGTTGGCTATATGTTGTATCAAACCGCATGTGTATTTAAAAATCGGGATGGGATATATCCCACAACATTTTACAGAAAGTTCTCAATGAAGTTCAAATTCATCCATTCAGTTTTTTGACCAGAAAGAAATAGGCTTCTTTAGTGATTGTGTAAGTGGTATATTCCAAAATATATTATAAGATTCAACATATTTTTAACTTGTTCAAGTGCACACAAATTGGCAAAAAGATGGTTCTGAATAGAGGATATGAATTATTAAATCCAAATTATATTTTTTGTACTTGTGTCCCACACAGAACACAACTACATAAGTAATGGGACTTTTATTGCAATGCACATTTTGACCCTTATCCACTTTGTATCATTGCAGATACTTATGATGTTGATTCCTCTCTTTGTGCTTTCTACAGTTAGCAACATTAATAATGCCCTTTCCTTTTATTTCTATTTTTTTAAAGAACCACACTGTTATGAGCAGGTGTATGTTTTTTTCTTAGTGTATTAAAGAGTGTTGCACATCATTGAAACAAGCTAGTGGGTCTTGGCATTGAAATAACTATAATACTTTGATATATATCTTCTTTTTTATCATTGAGTTGATTTTGCATTTCTACATATGAACTGGAAATTGGAATAAGTGATGAATTGTTCCTTAAATTGAACTGTTTTGTGTAGTTTTCAGGTAATGTGATTCTGGCATCTTAGTATGATTCTCTCCTATTAATGGAAAATAATAATCAAATTTTAACTTAAGACCATGGCATGTAGGAATACAGTGTAAATAGAAGAATACTTATATCCTATGCAAGCTCTTGTTTACCCACTTAAAATGAAATTGGATTCCTATAAATACAGTCATTGGATTCATGCCAGACTGTGTTGCTTAAAGTTTGTTCCCAAACATACAGTGAAATGTTCTAGAGCATGGGTGTCAAACTCACCACATCACGTGACGGGTTGCGATGAATAGCCACTTTAGTTGCATTGTGGAGTTGGGTTGAGTGTGGCCTCCGTATGATGAAACCGGCCCACAGGCCGGCAGTTTGACACCCCTGTTCTAAAGTAAAGACATAGGATTTCCTTTGGAATAGAAATTTACTAGATTCTTTTTCAGGATTTGACTTTAAACACATTTATGATTCCTTGTCTCCCACCTTTAAAGTATAAAACATGTGCATATTTATTTGCCTCGGCCAAGTAAGGCTGATAATGCCAAGAATATTTATAATTAAAGAAAGGAAATGAGTGTGTTATTAAAAAGCATTTGATTGCTTCTTTACAAGCAATCAAATTATGCATAAGATGTTTTGGTAATACTATGAGGAGTTTAAGCTAATCATTAATTTCAGTCGTCCGTTGATCTTCCTGTGAATAGGACATTCCTTGATTAAAAGGTTCACTTAATAAAATGGTGATCAAGTCTCCATGTAAAACTCTCTAATGAAGATTCATTCATTCATTAAAGATTCATTAAAGTTGGGGGAAAGGGCTGTACTAGGCATTCAGAAAAAAATGTTACAAAATGGGCATTTTCAATCTAAAGCAGTTGTGTCCTTTCAAGGCTCATTTGGCTGGCAGTTTCAACCTACATATAGTTTCTTAATTAAATGTTTTACAAAGAATGCCTGCAATATTTTTTTTTCTGATATGTCAAATTCTGCTGCAAAAAAGTTTGACTCTGATAAAGTTTATTCATTTTTTATGATGTTTTTAATTAGGAGTATATGATTACTCTTCCTACGGTTGTTTTATCATTCTTATCTTTATGTTTTCATATAGACAAATGCAGTAAAAGAACCTGTATTTCGGACTCCAAAGGCTTTTATTCTCTGGACATTAGAAGCCATTATACCATATTGCAGTAACAGTATTAAGATCGTGCAAGATCTTGCTGCATCTAAAATTAGTAATTCAATCTTTAAATACAAAAATTATTCACCTACCATAATGGAAGTCATATAATCTCTCTTTTTTTTAAATTCTTCCTCTACTTGAACCAGCCTTTTTTTTTATAACGTAAAAGTTACTATGGCACCACAAAGATTATATCGTTCTAGTAGTCCTTGGCTTATAACAGTTTGTTTAGTGACCAAATTTCCAATGGCACTGAAAAAAGTGACTAATGACCATTTTTCACAGTTATGACTTTTGCAGCATCCCCAGGGTCACCTGATCAAAATTCAGATGCTTGTCAACTGTTTCATATTTATGGCCGTTGTTGTGTCCCAAGTCATATAATAACACTTTGCGACTTTCTGAAAGCAAAGTCAATGGGGAAGCCAGATTCACTTAACAACAGGTTGCTAAATTATCAATTGCAGTGATTCACTTAACAACTGAGGGAAGAGAAGTCATAAAATTGGGCAAAGCTCACTTACTAAATGTCTCACTTAACAACATAAATTTTGGGCTCAATTGTGGTCATAAGTTGAGGACTATCTGTACAATCCTCATTCATTTATTCATCCATCCATCCATCCATCTGCCACCAATATCACTGATATAGTGATACTGGGCAGCTTTAAATAATTATAGTTCCATTCTAACATTAAATTATAGGCAAGAAAAACCAAATGCACAGGTACAGTATAGATGGTACCTTGCTTAATAGTAGCAACTATGAGAGGGATCTTGGAGTCCTAGTGGACAATCACTTAAATAAGAGCCAGCAGTGTGCTGCAGTTGCCAAAAAGGCCAACGCAGTGCTAGGCTGCATTAACAGAGGGATAGAATCAAGATCACGCGAATTGTTAAAACCACTTTATAATGCCTCGGTAAAGCCACACTTGGAATACTGCATCCATATAAGGAACGGTTGATGGAATTGGGTACGTCTAGTTTAATGAAGAGAAAGACTACGGGTGACATGATAGCAGTGTTCCAATATCTCAGGGGTTGCCACAAAGAAGAGGGAGTCAAGCTATTCTCCAAAGCACCTGAAGGCAGGACAAGAAGCAACGGAAGGAAACTAATCAAAGAGAGAAGCAATCTAGAACTAAGGAGAAATTTCCTGACAGATAGAACAATTAATCAGTGGAACAACCTGCCTCCAGAAGTTGTGAATGCTTCAACACTGGAAGTTTTTAAGAAGAGACTGGACAACCATTTGTCTGAAATGTTATAGGGTTTCCTGCCTGAGCAGGGAGTTGGACTAGAAGACATTATTGTTGTTGTTGTTACATTTTAGATGGGAGAAAGAATGTGATCATTTTTTCCCCATTGGGTAGTATGAATGCCTTTTATAAACTATTTAGAAATAGAAACCAAGCCCTCTATCTTAACCATATTTAAACAGTGGAAATATTCTGATATTGCAACCTTCTACATATTCTTTGAAGTCTATTAAGGTCTTTATTCAATTTTTTTCAGCAACCTATAAAAGTATATTATTTTTAATATATGTAAGTATGTGTGTATATATCAATATATATGTGTTTGCATAATTAGTAAACTGCAAGATATGTATTGTGTCTATACAATTATAAAGTAACTGTTAGTAAATCAAAAAGAGGTATTTGTATTATTCTAAGTAATGTATCAATATTTTAAAAATAGACCCCATCACAACAAAGCAGCATTTTAGACAATGGACAGGAAGATATTTCTACTGGCAGCCAATGGAATCCATATCCCCTTGGAAGGCGAGATGTACCACCAGAAACTGTTGCTAAAAAGGTAACATATATCACAAACACGGAATGCTGAAATAATATAAATACACACAACTAAATCTTGATACTTGCCAATGTTCTCAAAGTTATAAATGAGAATCTAGGAACTGACCATAGTTTTATGGGTTTTTTTCCTACTGCACATTTTTCAGTTGGATTTAAACATGGTTAAATATTATATTGTCACTTATATTAATTCCATCTTGGCCATAGTTTGAAACTAGAATTCAAACATGATGAATAAATTCAAATTAAAGTTTTTAGCATTAATCTAATCCTAATACAATAGCACCACTAAGCTGAATCTCTAGAATTTGTTACAACAAAACAATACGATAGCCAACTTAGGTGGCTTGAAGAGTACACTTGATAAATTGTTAAGGAGATATCTGTCAAGGACCAGTCATGTCACCTCCACATTAGGAATAGCATATCTCCAAATAGAAGTTGCAAGGTAAGTGTCCATTTTCTGCTTTCAAGGAATCACTTTGACAAAAAGATGCTGGAGGATGATGGGTCTTGCCTAAACTAATATATATTCCTCTGTACTGATGTGAAATTGGAAAGTACATTTAAAGGAAGAGATTTGGAAAGAAAGCTCACAATTTGTTTCATCCTTTTCTAATTCCATAATCAATCATAAGCATGATTACTGGCATTTACATTTTTATTTATGGTATTTATTAATTTATTAGTTCCATGGCATAATTTATTCAATATACAGTATTCGACAATAATTTGCAATGTGTTGTCAATTAAAGGGGCCACGTTTGCACATAGAGGTTGGTAAGAAAATACAGGCAATATAAATAAGATCAGTGGAAACAATAGAAGGTATTGTTTCAATCAGACTATTTCGCTTTGTTTTTCTGGGAAAAAAGAATTTTATATCATTTATCTAGTAAATTCTATCAGGATAATTAAATTAAAGTAAGAGAAATGTTTGCAAAATAAATTATTAAACAGGTGTGAAAATTAATTTAAGAAATTATTTACCTATCTCTTGTCGGTTGAGAGTTTTTTGAGCATGAAATATTAGCAGAGCTTATCTCTTCTCATTGCATTTGACCCAGAATGACCTATTTCTGCTTTACCAGCTAAAAATTTCAAATGTACAAATCATCTGACTTCAAAATCTTTTAAAAAGGTTAAACGTAGATTGCACACTAAAAACAAATTAAAATTCCTAATAATTCAATTGATCTTCCAGAATTTACGTTATACATATATGGGGCTTCAAATTTTAAAATCAGAATTTCATAATTAAAGTTTTATATATTATGAATTATCTTTATAAAATCCTGGTTTCCAGACTTGCAGCACCATATGTGAGTATTGCATGACATAATTCATGAAAAGCAAAATGATCCTAATTTTACTGATATGTGTGATATAAAGGTAGTCCTTGTTTACCAACTGCTTGTTCAATGTCTGTTCAGAGTTAGAATGCCCCCAAAAAGTAGGTTTATGATTAGTCTTTGAATTTGTAGCCATTGCAGCATCTATCACAATTCAGGCTCTTGGCAACTGGTGCATGTTTACAGTAGTCATATTTACAATAGTCACAGCATTCCCCCTTACAGCCATTAATAGGGAAGCTGGCAGGAAACTGCAAGTTACAGTCATATGACCTCAGGCTAACATTTACATGGGACAGCGGTAAAAATATCACTTTTCTTGAGGAAAAAATGAGCGTAGTACATAAGCAGTGCTTCCAGTGATTCCCTGTTCACATGTAGTTGAAAAAATTTTAAATGAATAAATGCACAATACTATTTTTAATTATAGCTACTTGCAACTTGAGTTAAAACTTGAGCTTTGAAGAGACTAAGATAACGTTGGCATTACTATAAAATTTTATGTATTGCTTTTTGTGATTGTATATATCACTGGTCTCATGGATTGCTATTATACACAGGCAGGTAGCCATATTCAGACTCTGATGGGATCACAAAGTCTACAGCATCGTAGTCGAGAGCAGCCATATGAGGGCAACATGAACAAAGTAACAATCCAGCAGTATCAGCCACCGTTGCCAATACAGATCCCTTCTCAGAGCTCTCGGGCGCCACAAGCAGGGAGGTGTGTCATCCAGACAAAAGGGCAGAGGAGTATGGATGGTTATCCAGAACAGGTGAGCATGTTGCAGAATATCATGTGGGTAAAAGTTGTTAAAAGAAGGTCAATATGATACCATATCACACTGCAGTGGTTTCACACCAAGTGTCTGGTTGAGGAAGTAATCTTTGTCTAGCTTTCTTTAACAAGAAACACAATTGGATTGTAAATGTGGCCTTTTTTTTCAGCTTGTGGGCATAGAAGCAAAAAAAAATCCTGAATTATATCTAGTTCCATGTATGCATGCATCAATACTGAATCAATCAGATTTCTAATTTTAAGAAATAGAGCATTAGCACTGAACACACTGTGCAAGCACAGTTTCTTATAGGAATGTGTAAAACATCAGAAATCTAGAATATTTTTTGCAATTCTGGTAGGATTTTGTATATTCCGAAGTAAATCCTCCAAACCAGGACTCCTTCTACTTCAGAAGATTTTTTTTTTTCTGGAAATTACTGAACCTCAAAAGAGAAAAGCCCAGGAACAGGTTTTGAAATGCTTCATTAGGGAAAGAATGTTTCAGAGTTTTAAGAATGCTGAGTTTTGCAGTTCCTTTGCTCCTAATGGCTAAGAGTTTGGGATTTCTCTACATTGTGCCTATTTCTAGCTTTCATTAAAGAAATGAGGTTGATGAAATATATACATAGCAATGCGAAGTACTACTCTGGGAATAATATTTTCTGAAATGATGAATAAAAGTCACCAAAATCAGTCTTAATAAAATAACACTAATTACAGCACAGTAAGTGGAGCACTTATATTTATTATCGACATACTACAAGAATATAGTCATAACTCTGTGTCTTTTATATATAGTTTTGTGTAAGGATAGAGAAGAATCCAGGACTTGGATTTAGTATCAGTGGAGGAATAAGCGGCCAAGGAAATCCATTCAAACCTTCTGATAAGGTAATATATTGCATTTTCAAAAATGTAAGAGCTTTGAATCTTTAATAGGCCATTTCGAATTTGAAACATACAACCCCGGGGTGAAGTAATTAACTGCAATTTCTTTATGGTTAATCTGTTTTTAATAATTTCACATCTTTTCTTCCCAAATGTGCTTGGTTCTTTAGCTATTGTCTTTTATTCAATTAGGCATTAAAAATCTTGTTGAAAACGGTATTGCTTACATACATACATACATACATACATACATACATACAAATAAACATAATGTTTATTTGATGCGTCTCTAATATTGTATTAAGACAAGTGCTTGTACTTATCCACTAGTAGAGTTTAAACAAATGGAAAATTCCATATCTTAATGTACATTCTATAGCAGTGATGGCAAACCTTTTGGAGACCGAGTGCCCAAACTGCAACCCAAACCCCACTTATTTATCGTCGGGTGCCAGATGGGCATGGCCCACTGGGTGGGTGTGGCCTACTGGGTGGGTGTGGCCTACTGGGTGGGCATGGTTAGCATGGGCATGGCCTACTGGGTGGGCGTGGCCAGCTCACCGTCACTCACGTCAGGGGCACTTGTGCGGGCCTGGGCAGGACTGGGCCAAATCTGAGAGTCTCCAGCGGAGGGTGGGTGGGACCGGGTCAAGCTCTGGGGCATGGTCCATTGGAGGAGACTCACTGAGCCTCAGGCAATGCAGGGGGCCCATGGACAGTGGCACGGACTGCCTGGAGCCCTGGCAGCGGAGGTCAAGCACCCAGCCTGGCCCTTCAGCTCCCATAACACCAGAACCCCACAGTCCTGCCTACCCTAGCCGCACTTCCCTGAGGGGGTGCCCAGCTGCATGGTGAGTGCAGAAGAGCAAATTGCATGGGTCAGAGGGAGGCCTACTCCCTCTCCATGTGAGGAGACCTGGCTTTGTAACCAAAGCATCCTCAGCAATAGGATGGGAGACCACCAGAGGATGGCAAAAGGGCCACAGGGCTGCTGGTGGCCAAGTGCTAAGGCAGGACTTTCCTCAGGCGCTCCCTCCCTCTCATTCCAATCTCCCTGCCTCCCTCCCTCCTTCCTTCCTTTCTCCCTCCCTCCTTACCTCCCTCCCCTCCTTCCCTGCCTCTCTCCTTTTCATTCCCATCTCCTTCCTTCCTCTCTCTCTCTCTCTCCCCCTTTCTCCAAAGTGCAAACACGTGTGTGCTACTTTTTGCACTCACCCTGCTCACACTGTGCGTGCCCACAGAAAAAGCTCTGTGATAGAGGATTAAACAGCCGGGTGATTTTGGGCCAGTCATTCTCTCTCAGCCCAATCCACCTTCCAGGTGTGTTATGAGGAAAATAGGAGGAGAAAGGTATGTTGGATATGTTCATTGCCTTGAGCTATTTATAAAAATAGTATAGGTCAGATATAAATAAAAATAAAATTAATTAATTCATTAAATAAATACTGGATTTCAGGACCTGTACTGATTTTCTAGACACGTAGGGAAACCAATCCAAAGTAAGCAGCAGGTTGCCTAGAAGAAGACTCCACTTTGCAAAAGATGAGAGAGAGGGAGAGAGAGAGAGTGTGTGTGTTTTTGCATTCTGTGTTTCACAGCTTCATGAGTTTAATGAGATTTATTCCTAGATATAGATGTGCAGGACTGGTATCTTAAAAATAGCTGTCCTCTTGATGCAGACAGATTTGAAATGTTGGATATATTGGATTTTTCCTTGTTGCAAAGGATGGCTTCAAGCAGGAATGATGCAAGGAGCCCAATAATTTTCCCTCCTTTCTCTTTTTTTGAAAGCAGGACCAGCTTTTTATGTTAAGGCTCTGCTCGCCTTCCCAAACTCCAAACTGAAGTAGGACAATGAAAATAGGATGCGCACGTGAGTTTGGAGTTTGGGAAGGCGAGTGTAGGACGCGCAAATTTGGAGTTTGAGAAGGCAAGCTAGGAAAGTAGGACACGCAAGTTTGGAGTTTGAGAAGACAAGCGTAGGACGCGCGCCTTCCCAACTCCAAACATGATATTAAAGGGGATGGGGGAAGAGATATTAAAGGGGGTGGGGGGAGAAATGAGTAATAAGGGGGTGGTATGTGTGTGTGTGTGTGTGTGTGTGAGAGAGAGAGAGAGAGAGAGAGGGAGAGAGAGAGAGAGAGATCCCCTTTTTGTAAATTTGCTTATTCTGCAATGCTTTCCTTTCCTGACACTTTTGCTTCCCTGCTGGCTCAGTCTTTCTTTCTCTCTGCTGCTTCTGCCGCCCAGATCTAGGGCTGCAGAGCGATTTTGCTCCACCACCCCCCAGCCGATCTGGGCAGCAGAGTGTTTTTGAAGTCTCTGGAACTTGCATCCATGGCTGTGGAGCAATTTTATGGCGCTTCAGCGGCTCGATGCGGGCGCTGAAAATGCGGCGGGGGGAGAACGGCGGCAGTGCAATCTGCACGGTGGGTGTGGGGAAACGGCGGCGGGTGGGGGATTTTGCACACACCCCCCCATGGCCGATCCAGGTGACAGAGGCCTTTTCCACCATCCAGCCCGGCTCTCAATGCAGAGAGAAAGAGAGCCGAGAGCGCAGGCGTACATGGAGAGGCAGAAGGGAGCAGTCTGGCCCCGCCTCCCTCCAGGGTGATGGCGTGTGTGCCTACAGGGATGGCTCTGCGTGCCGCCTGTGGCACGCGTGCCATAGGTTCACCACCACTGTTCTATAGCAATGAGATATTAGTATGATAAACATTTCAATATGTATTTTCAGTTTCCATGAAACCTAGGAAACATTTTTGTAGCAAATAAGATTTTGGTTTATAAGAAAGATTTGGTCTATTCTTTACTAACACTGTTAGTAAATGTCAAGTGCAGGAAAATCAGGAAGTCCAGGCAATTCAAATGATTATAAAGTTTTATTACAAGCTTATGCTTTCTACAAGAATGTGAACTACTAACGATCAGAGCAAATTGGCGGTAGTCAGTGGAATTCAAGGTGGGCTGGACTTAGATCTCCTGTGGGTGCAAAGGGACTCAAGCTGGCTGATGCATTTTGACCCCTGGCTCAACCTAGTCATCTCCTACAGCACATTCAATAGATACTGTCTGAAATTTTGTTCCTTCCACATGTTAATTCAAGAATACAATTTAATATTTAAAAAAATCTTTGCAGATACTGTTTTGTTTCATAGCAAAAGATACTATGCAGGATAGTATAGTAGATACTATGATATAAATATATAAGTTGCATTTTATGAGAGACTGAGTAAGATGTCTCAACACAGAAAACATACATTTGTATGAGTGTTTCGGAGGCTGTGGCTTCCAATCCAATAAAATGATAGGTTACCATGTATACCTGAACAACAGCTCTAAAGCTTATGGAGAACTTACAAATCAGCAAAAAGATTGCTTACCATCATTATTAGTATTACGAAAGTCACCGATTTAATCTATGCAGAAATCTTTAGTGAGTTCTCAGTTGTCTAATCTCTGCTGCTTTTGACTTGTAGGGTATCTTTGTTACTAGGGTTCAGCCTGATGGACCAGCATCTAACCTGCTTCAGCCTGGTGATAAGATTATTCAGGTAAATGAGAACTGTTTCTTAATGAAAGCATGGTTTTACTGCAGATATCCTTGCTCATCTGCATGCCGTCATATTCCACTTTTCTCTGCCTGCCCAAAATAAGTTTCAAATGGTCTAAGGCTGAGATTCAAGTGCTAAGATGCTGGCAATCTGCACACAATTGCTACTCTCACAAATAGACATGGATTTGTTGTTGGCTAAGTATGAAGAAAGAGAGAGAAAGCAGCTTGTCTGAAGGAGATAGTATGTTCTGAACAGTAAAAGTCAATATTAACATGATGTTTGCCCAATATTGACCTAGGGCCTATTTTATTTACTTATAGAACTTGGTATTTTATTCCTGAATGTGAAGCTGACTGAAGAGACACCTACGTATAACTTTAAAAAAAAAAAAAAAGCAGAACCAAAGCAGAATAAAAAAAATCCCTTTTGTGTGTGCATGTATGTGTATATTAGCTGACTGAACCAAATAATTTTTAGGAAAGGATTTGATTTACCCTGTAAGCTATAATGATGAGATTCAGTGTAAACAAAAAAAACCTGTTAGAATTATATTAATTTTTATTTATCAGCTTATATTATAAATATTTATGCTACTACAGAGATAAATCCATTTTATTGCATGCAAAATACAATTGCTTTCAACTTCTGAACAGTAGTTTACTACTCTAAATAAAGGAAGAATTTTTGATTATGTTCTCCTTTGGTAAAGCTTTTTGCCTACTTATTTTTTACTGTTCTTCAGTATCACAGAAGTGAAGAGTTTGAATAAGTAATTTTTATAAAAGAAAAGAAAAAAACCTTGTTCAGTTATCTGATTGAGTCTATTCCTCATGCAACGGTAGAAGTCCAACCTGCATTCAGGATGTTCTCTGTTGCAATAACCATTTCATAAGACATTTAGGTACACACTCAACCTGTGATTTTATACTTATACAGTCCTGTGTCAGTTCCTTAAATGAACACCACTACCATGCAAACGTTAGGGCACAATTTTATTCAATGTTTAGGGCATAGTGCCATTCTGTATTTATATCAGAAAAGAGCTTCAGTGTAAACATTTCTTAATCTGATTGGATCACTAACTCATAAAACTTGTCCCGGGAAATTGCTAAAAATTCTTTTGCCTTTTAAGCATTTTGCAGTAAATAAGCAATTAATTAAAAACATTTCCAAATCAGGATTCTGGTATCTTCCACCTTTTATAAATTTTGAAAGAATTGTCTTTTTTATATTGAGCTGGATTGATGTTAGACATGCTTGCTAAATTAATGTGCTTTTATTTAAGCCAATTAGTCATTATTTCCAAAGCATGCATGTTTAAGCTTAACTACCAAATAAATCAATAAGATTTATTTCCAAGTCAGCATACTAACAGCACAGCAATGATACTGTTGGATTTAACAATACTTGCTCAAGTAATGTAGGCTACATTCAGACTGTAAAATATTCAAATTTGTAGTAAATTCTTTAGGTTTATGTGGCTTATGATGATCATCAACTGCAACTTTGATGGACTGGAACAATAAGCACTAATCGTTTTATTGAAGATGTTGATAGACAAGCAGATTTCTGTAGGATAGGTTTGGGATCCATTCTATCAAGATGTTTCACAGAAAGTATACTCAATCTAAGTAACTGATCTTATATCTACATATTGATGGCTATTGGTGTGGATCTGGTTCATTTTTATACATGGCATGTCTCTTTGTCAGTGGAAACATATTTTAAGGGAATAACAAAACTAAGCTTCTGTTGCACTTTTTTAAACATGCTTATCATATATCATATATCCTACATATCTACCCTCATTCTCTTTTTTTATTATTCAAATGCAATCACTCTTTGAATACTTCTTTTCCTTCTCTTTGTGTCATTCATTCCCTTTCCCAGTTATTAGAGCAGTGTCCTACGTTGGCATCTACAGAGAAAAATAAATACATAAATCAATTTTAATAAATATGAGATACGAATTCATAATAAAAATAAACTATGAAAACTTCAAAACTTATTTTCTACATTTGTCTAAGTTGTTTTAATATTACCAGCATTGTCATACATGTTAGGTTTAGGTAAAGAGGTGATTTTATGAAACTTGGCATTTTGTGAACTTGGCCCCTTGATTACTACTAGAGCGGATCTAGAATACAGCAGTAGATATGTTGGTAAGTATACATATGTAAGCATATAAGTGTGGAAGAGGCCAGAATTTATAGGTAAAGGTAAAATTAAGGGGTTGCAGGAAGAGGAAGAAGTCGGTAGCTTAGGTTTTTCTGCTCTGCTATTTCTTTCCTTGTGTTAGACTATGGAATTTCTTGCATTCTTTATATATCTAGTTTAATCCAAACTAAAGATAGATACAATTTTAGTTGTAAAATGGGGATCAAAACTTTGCAAGAAGAAGTTACTGTTTGTTTGTGGTTGGTCTAGCTTGATCTAACTTTGGCTCTGCATGTGGTCTCTCACTAAGGGAACAGATCTGGAATTTGAAGATCCTCCTGGCCTTGTGGTTCTGCTAGAACAGGAGGTGGAGGCCCTGACCAGGGGTTCCTTCACTTGACTGGTGTGCCAAGTGTTGGTCTTTTTGGACTAGGAGGCCATGACAATAGTGACTCCTGTCCTGATCACCTAATAATTAGACCACTGCAGCCACTTAATATTGGATTGCCTTTTTAAGGTGACTTGGAAGCTAATATTTGTACTGTCTGTTTATTTGCTAACTGGACGGTAGCAGATTTAACAATGTAACGGTCAGCCCTTCAAGATAGACCAGACTAGGAAACCAAAGTCATGAAGAGCAATATTACGTTTATTTTAAAGTTATAATAACAGGTCCTTGCAAGTCTGAATGCACCTCTCCCTCTTTACCTTTGTGTGAACTAGGGAGGAGCTTGTGAGAAGTTCACATGCATTAGAGTTCTAGGCCAGACTTGGGGATTTTGAATACCTGATGATTACCTTGGCAGTGAGTCTTCCTCCTGTTCGTCAAAGGTCATATTCTCTATCTTCTACATTAACACTAATGATAGTATTGGCATGTTGCTAATCTATTTGCTTCCAGGCCCATCTCAAAGTGCTGATGGTCATTGTTAAAACTCTCCATCGCTTGGCTCCTGGGTATTTACAGGATCATCTTCCTTGACAAGATTCAGCCCACCTTGTGCATACTTTTGTGGGAGGATATGCCAAAGGTTCGCATTGTACGAAAAGTGAGCAGAGTGGAACCTGATGTCCTAAGGAAACAGAATGCCACTAATCTCTTTGCCTTTAGGAAGGCACTTAAGATCTTATTATTCCACAGAGCAATTGAATGCTGGTAATGGAAAGGCAATTTATTGGTTACTTAGCCACAGTTATGAGGTGATGCAGAGCAAAAGGCTATTTTCTTTTTACCTACAGTATCATCACAATAGATTAGATGTATGTTCTCTTTGCTTAATTGTTTGTCACCATTACATTGAGAGAGGTATGAAGAGAACATGTTTACTACAGATTCAAATCAACACCTTTATGTATCCCTAAGTGTAACATCCTGACATATTTTTTAAAAAAAAAATCTCGGCAGTATATTGAAAATAAATGTTCAATCATGACAGCTTGAAGGAACATAATTATAATGTTAGGAAGTTGAAATTATGTCAACGCCTTACCATAGACAAGATAATTATGGAAATAATAGGATTTCTTAAGTATTTATTTATTTAATTTCTATCCTGCCACAGCACACAAAGACCCATATAAAGCATCCATGGTAAAACTATCTCCATGTTAGCATATCTTGAAATATTAGTTGCTTACAGCTTGAAAGTAACTGTTCTGAAAAAAAGCATACTCGGCATGAATTTTCATTGTATGTTTTTCAGGAGCTGTACTGATGACATTCAGTTAAGACCTAAATCATAGTGAATTCTGCCACCAAGTAAACTTAACCCATTTTAAAATATCAAGGGTCCTTTTGCAGATAATGTTAGACATTTGCCATTCCTTCTTGAACGTGACTAGAGGAATTCTAGATTGAAAATGACTGCCAACTTGTACACTCTCTTCTTCACATCACATTGGGTCCTCAGGTTTGGCTTTGCTTTATTTATTTTTTTTATACTTTAGGCTTGGTTTCCATGCTCATTTCTGATACAGTTAAGTCATTGTTAGAGCTTTTCTTTGCTAACTGAGCAATATGTGAGTTGTATGAGTGAGTGGACTTAAAAAAAATATGCGTGCTCTCTTGTCACAACGCAGCTAATAATTGTTGCTGAAATCTGTCAATTAATGGATTTTGGCCAATAGACCTAACTTCCACCAAAAACAAAAAAAGCCAGGTAAAGAATGTTGAATCAAGCAGGGCCCAGGAAAAAGAAGAAAGGTTTCCAGTAGCCTATCCTGTCTACTGGGTGAGTAGGTCAAGTGCTGAATTATGCTCAACCTGGCAGAATGCAATGCCTGTTTCCCTTTTTCTGAATACTGAAAGTTTCAGGTGAATCTTTGCTCAGGATTTTGTCAGATTGAAAGAGGAGGAGAAAGGTCTTTTTTGATGGTACATTTCTCCATTTAGAAGACATATTCAAAGTGATAAAGAATTGACATAAAATCTCCCATTGATTTTATACCAGAGTAAATATAGAAATCAGTCCACTTGTGTAAGTGCTGCAGAGGGAGAGGCCTGGAGTGCAACTGGCCTGGAATCTTCAAACAAAGCAGAGCCAAAACATTTTACTTCATTTATGGGCAACACATTCAGCATGCTTTAAAATACCTTTTACAGTTGTTTAATTATTGTTCACAATCTATTTGGTTATACAAGAACCAGGGGGAATAATCATATTTAAATCTATCATCTAATACAGTGTTTCCCAAACTTGACAATTTTAAGGCATGAGGACTTCAACTCCCAGAATTCCACAGCCAGCAATGCTGGCTGTGGAATTCTGGGAGTTGAAGTCCATATGCCTTAAAATAGTCAAGTTTGGGAAACAGTTTGATTGAACGATAGTTCAGTCTGT